TAGAGTGCTGTGAGCGTCCTTCATTCTTGGACCCACCCACCGCGGCTGTTCCTTCTGGCAACTGTGTTGATTTGTTTTTCTCCTTCCCCTATCCTTGGTCTCTCTCTGCCACTCACCTCTGCTCATCTTCTTCTGATCCGTTTCTCTCTCTTTCCACCCCTTTGCATTCCCTGCTGACATCCAGGAGATGGAAGTGTTTTAAATGCACTACATTTATTAACAAAATTCTGTCGTCCCTTTTAAAACAAACTTGCAGAATATGGATGTGGATAAAGTGAATTTGAACCTTGGGCAGTTTGCCTCTCCTGGATCAGGGCCGGGAATCGGGTGACTTGAACTGAGGATTTCAGAGGCCCCACAGTGAGCAAAGAGGACCATGTCCTCATGTCCTGAGTGTGTGTGCTTCTGAAAAATTCTAAAGGAGCCTGGAGCAGTCAGTGTTTAAGGATGGAGTGCCAAGAATTCCAAGGGAGGCTGTCCCGTTAGTTGATCTCTTAGTTGATCTCTTTGGCCAGTTGACTTGACAGGAGACGGACAGGTTTCTCGGTGTCACCTTGGACTTGTTTTCGTTTGGGGGCTGGGAATTGAACCCAGGGCCTTGTGCAAGTGAGGCAAGCTCTCTACCCACTGAGCTGTATCCCAGCCCCTCACCTTGGACTTGAAGACAAGGTTTGCTGTGGGCATCCACAAGCGCAGCCTGGGTTAACTTCCTGCTGGTGGCAGGGAGGTCCCCTCCAGCCCAGCAAGCATGGAGCCCTGCTGGGGACAGGCCCCCAGGCCTGGAGGGTTGGGGCCAGGGAGAGAGCAGCCTCAAGAAATCTGAGTCCAGACAGAACCAGATCAAGGTGTGGTGAGGGTTTGGACAGCTTTGGGTTTTCCCAGATATGGACTAAACCGAAGTGGACCCACTCCAGCTCCCACCCATGGCAGTCTCTCCTCCGGGGTTACACCCTGACCACAGACATCCCCCCACCCCGACGAGGAGTCCCTGAGATCAAACTTCAGAACTTCCAGTACATTGTTCTCTCATTTCCAGTGTCTAGACAGGGCTGATGCACAATGTCCGGGTTGCTCCAGCTTAGAAATTGAATTTCTTGATTCCAGTTTCATAATACCAGCCATTACTATTTTTTCTTCCTTCTGTAAATCTTAGATTCTGTAACGGGTGTTGACTTAATGTGACGACTAACAGTAATTCAGGTCTGCTTTGTAAATATCCTTGTGTCTATTGCCAAAGCCCACAAGAGTTTGTTGCTGATTTTTGTGGGCTTGGAACAAGAAAACCACATTGGAAAAAAAATTTTTTTTTCTATGTATGTTGCAGACCTTACATTATTGCTTAATGTCCTTTCATTCATTTGATTAGTTTCTTTTGTGGATCAGTACAGAAAACAAGGTTATCTTCCTTGAAAAACTGGTTTTGTCACATAAGAAGAGTTACGTAACCCATCATATTTCCTTTTTTGACTTGGCTTCCAGGAAGCTCAGAGCTAAGTATAATTATCACTCTTGTAATTGTGACTCTGGATGACCTCCCCTTTTAACATTATCCTTTAAATTTGCTTGTTTTATTATGGAGTATGTGTTTTCTAATTCTAAGTTGCTCCACATCCTTTTGAAAGCGGGAAAATCTGTTTCTAGGACTTATCCAATGAAAGAATAAAAACTGATTCCCAAAGAGGGGATTCACTTGGGACGCCTTAACATCTGAGGGGGGCAGGAATTCATTCAAAGCCATCCTGTCTCCCCCCTGGCAGAAGGGCAGTTCAGCGCCTGCCTAGTTAATAGCCTCAGAGCAAGCCAGATGGAACTGTCTGGTGGATGGCTGGTGGCTGCAAGGATGCCTGGATCTTTCCACGTGGCTTCTGCCACTGAAATTTTTTTTTTTTTTAAACCAGGGATTGAACCGGGGACGCTTAACCACTGAACCACATCCCCAGCCCTTTTTTACATTTTATTTAGAGATAGGGTCTTGCTGAGTTGCTTAGCACCTCGCTAAGTAGCTGAGGCTGCCTTTGAACTTGCAATCCTCCTGCCTCAACCTCCCTAGCTGCTGAGACTACAGGTGTGCGCCACCAGTGGCTTCAAAGAGACCAACTTAAGACTCCCCTTTAATGGCCTTCCTGTCTCTAACAAGGGCTGAAGTGGGTGAGAAAGGAACGTGGAGTTCAATATTTATCCAACTCTACATTTACATTTAACAGCAGAGAAGAAATTATACACGAAGAATTTGAATCGATCAAAATGTAAACATTTTTGTGTTAGGAAAACATTTGTGCGTTGTTGGCACCTGCCAACAACAAGGGGTGAAGAAGAGATTTCATTGGGAAAGAAATGTAGAATCAGCCAGCAACGCAGTTATTTATTTTGGTCAGAGAAGCAGAACGATTTTTATGACCTTGCATTATAATTATGACTTGGAGATATTCCAAGGTGACAAGAATAACAACGGCCTCCATTTACTGGGTGGTTGATAAGTGCCAGGCCGTGTTTTCAGTGTTTTCCGGGAGTTAACTGACTTCATTTCACTCAAGACTCTAGGAGGCAGGTATTATTACCCCAATTTTACAGATGGGGAAACTGAGGCACAAAGGGGTTAAATTGATATCGAAGGTAAACTACTAAACCAGGATTCAAACCCAAGCTTTGGCTCCCAGCTTATGCCCTTAACCTGGAAAGGCATGTCCCGTCTGGAAATTATTAAGTAGTAAGAGTCAAAACAATGTTTTAAATACCTGATGCGGGTGAAAATATGGTGAAGGTGGCTTTCTCAACAGCAGTCGCAGAGAAAACTAATCCTTTTAGAAAGCCATTTGGAAAGTTGTATTGAGGGTTTTTAAAATATTTATAACTTTGACCCACAAATTCTATTTCTAGGACTCTATGCTATGAAAATAATCCATAATATGGAAAAAAAATCCTTGCAGAGAGATGTTCACAGGAGGCAGTTTATATTACTTAAACTGGAATCAATGCAAATCAGTGTGTGGATAGCACAGGATCAGCAATCACAGAATGAAACAGGACGTAGTATTAAGAACCATGCCGGCAGCCAGGCACCATTGCGCAAGCCTGTAATACCAGCGGCTCCGGAGGCTGAGACAGGAGGATCGTGAGCTGAAAGCCAGCCTCAGCAAAGGCAAGGTGCTAAGCAACTCAGTGAGACCCTGTCTCTAAATAAAATACAATATAGGGCTGGGATGTGGCTCAGTGGTTGAGTACCCCTGAGTTCAATCCCTGATACCAAAAACAACAACAAAAAAAAAAGAATCATGCTGATGGTGTACCCTGTGGTCCCAGACTTGGGAGGCAGAGGCAAGAGGATCGATGGAGCCCAGGAGTTCGAGGCCATCCTGGGCAACACACTCCTTCTCAAAAAAAAAAAAAAAGAAAAAGAAAAATGCTTAAGATATGATGTTAATACAGGATGCCAAATGGTATGTTTGCAATAATTCTACCATTTGTATGTGTAAGGCAGTGGTTACAAATAAGACGTCAAGGAAATAGAACAAAATGCAATAGTCATTCTGTTTGGTTGGTAAGAAAGCTGCTTTGTTTTCGCAACTCTATTTTTGAAATCATATGCTGTGTTTTTCTAATGTAAAAAACAGGGTTTTTTTTTTTTGTTTTTGTTTTTAAAAAGGAACATAAACCAGGTGTAGTGATACATACCTATAATCCCAATGACCTGAGAGGCTGAGGTCATTGGGATTAAAAAAAAAAAAACTGCTGGGATGTAGCTCAGTGGTAAAGCAACCCTGGGTTCAATCCCCACTACTGGGGCATGGGGGGTGTGGTCATGAGAGAAAATAAAGAAATAGGTTAAATATGTGATTCCAAAGTTTTACAATTCAGGCCATTAAAATTAAGAAAAAAACCAGGATGGGTCAGAGACCAGCTGGGAGTGCAGACCCTGACCCCAGTCCCAGCCTGTCCACAGTATTCGAAAAGGAGCCACTGCAGAATGGGTTTGGCTTTCAAATTTTCAGAAACCAGCTTGGCCCGGCTGGCTCTCCATTAGGAGCTGCAGCCGTGGTTATTTACATCTGTGATTAATAAGAACCAGGGCACCGCTGGCTCCTGGGGAAAGACACCTGGGAGGAAGGCGGTGCAGCCAGGCCCGAGTTTCAGTTCCCCTGAAACCCGGCTGGCCTAGTTCATGGGCAAACTGGGTAACAGTCGTTCTTTACCAAAATGGTGTCCCCACACCTTGTCTCCCTGGTCAACAAAGTCACAGCTCCTGGGAATGCAGCTCTCAGGAGCTGGGGACACACGGGGACACTTGCTCAGTCTCGGGTAGGCGCCTGGTGGGCTGGAGGTGGCAGAGGGTGGGTGGTGGGAGGTGGGACAGCAGGGCACAGAGCCCTCCCTGGAGAGGGACTCGTCACAGGCCACCCAGAGGCCAGGGCTTCTCAGGCTTGGCGTGGGAAATTCACCAGGGGAATTTCCAAAGTGCAGCGACTTCAGCCAGACTTCTCCAGGGGACCGAATCCTAGGTCACGGGAGGGTCTGGGGTTTTCTTTCAAAGAAAATCTCCGGGTGCGTGCAGCGCCCCCCGGGGCCAGAGGACAGCGCGCGCATTCTCTCAGTGTCCCCCTCCGGAGGGCTGTGTGGACAAGAACACGGGGCTTTTTGTTGACAAGTGACTGGGCTCATTTTCTCCTCCAGGCCAATCTGCTGAACCCCCGTCTCTGATTCACAGGCCTTAGGACCCCACGGGCTCCACAGGACCCTTCCGTAAAGTGAATACCCGCCTCCCCGGGAGGATCTGGTTGTAATCCCAGGTCACCAAGCTCAATTCCCCAGACCTTGCAGGCAGCCCCGTCTTCCCTTCCTTCTGAAGATCTGTCCCTTGGGAGGGGTGGCCTTGGCCCGCCCCTCCCCCCATGGCCGCGCACGTGGCCTGGCGCCTCCCTCCGCCCTCCTGGAGGCCCGGTGTGTGGTGCAGAGAGATGGATCTGGGTGTGGTGTGTCACTCATCCTTTTTTCTGGTATCAAAGGTGCAGATAATTAATAAGAAGCTGGATCTTAGCAACGTCCAGTCCAAGTGTGGCTCAAAGGATAATATCAAACACGTCCCGGGCGGCGGCAGTGTGAGTACCTGCACACGTCCGTCCGTCCGACCCACGCCCCGCTGTGTGTGCGCTGCGCTCCTGAGAAGCGGCATGAGCGTCTCGACTTGCAAAACATTGCACAGAATAAATCATCTCGGGCTCGGGATCTCCCCGTGTCCCCCAGGAAAATGCAGCCCAGGGGCTCCAAATCCTAACCCTGTGTCCAGTGTCCTTCCTCATGATCCAGGAGCCCCCTTTCCCTCCAGCTCGTGAAGGCCATGGGGGCCCGAATAGGGAAGGTTGGCTCAACTGGGTGGCGCTGGTCTGTAACTCCATCTTCTCAGGAGGCTGAGACAGGAGGATCTTAGGTTGAAGGCCAGCCTTGGCAACTTCACAAGACCCTGTCTCAAAATAAAAACAAAAAGCACTGGGCATGTTCTGCTCAGTGGTAGAACACTTGCCTAGCAAGTGTGAGACCCTGGGTCCCATCCCCAGGACAACCAACAAAGTCAAAATGAGAACAGGGAAGGTGACTGATCCCCTCTCTGGCCCCTCCCTAGAAGCTGGGTCCTCACAGCGTGATGCCCATCATGGCCTCCACTCACTGCCCAGGCCCTGTCCCCAGGAGCCCCACAGCCCATTTGAACTTGGGCTGAAGGTGGTAGCACCCAAGACTGGGCTGTGTCACCTCCTCCCCCATCAGATGGGCAGTTTCACTTTAGGTGGCTCCACTGTGGGCAGGTGGCCCATTTGTTCTGACAAGTGGACACAGAGGTCTCACCATCCTACCTCAAGGGCAAGAGGGTCCAAACTGGCTGGTTGGCTGTCCTGCATCTTCTGGGCCAGTTCCTAAACCTCTGAGCTTAGACTTAAACCCAGCTCCACCTTTAGCCGGACTCTAGAGGCAAAGAGCCAAAGGAAAGCCCCACAGGTCCTGTCTGCAGTCATTTGGCCATTTGATGGAGGGAGAACTGCTCTTAGGGCCCTTCTCAATGTGGCTGCCTCCAAACGCCCCTGAGGACACCTTTTATCCTCATGGGTGTGTCCCTGTGGGATACTGGACTCTGATCCTCACTTCCCATCTTCCCTCCATGGGCTCAGAGACACTGTCACCCTCCTGGTTGGCTGGCCCTTGTGGTCTCCTGTCTGGTCTCCCCAGCTCCCTGCGCACTCTCCAAACCTAACCCTGGGAGCTGGAGGTTTGAGATCCCTGAGGCCTACCCCTCCGGAGGGGCTTGGTCTCTGGGGGAAGCACCTTGCTCCTGGCTGGCAGTGTCACGAGCTCCCAGGAAGGTCCTCCTCCAGTCCGTCCAGCCCAGAGGGTTTATTCTTGCAATGTGCTGCGCCCCTGCTACCCCAGCACCTGGACCCTGCCTCCTACCTCTGAGGCCTCTGTGGCTGCGCATGGGGCCTCACTAACGCTTCCTCACCAGTGTCTGCTAAGTGTCCCTTGTCCTCCACTCCCACCCCGTCGCAGGTGCTTGTTCCTGGGCCCCTGCCCAGCTGCTGTTTGAGGAATTCTGGCTGTGACCTCTCTAGCACTGCCACCCTGGCCAGAGGAAGAAGGCCATGTGCTTCCCAGATTGACAAATATCTGGGCTCCTGGGCTGCAGAGGGCAGATACTCCTGGAGGGGAAGCTGGGAAGGCAGCACAGGGGCCACGTGGCTCACATCCTCTGGTGACGAGTGGTTGCTCAAAGAAGCTGCAGAGCCCAGGACAACCAGGGGACTTCCTCCTGTGTGTCCTGCATTGTGCCAGCCCACGGGCTAGCCTGCCATCTTACATGGAACCACAAGCTAGTCCGGGCTGACCAGGAGCGCTGTCCTTGGCCAGTGGCCACTGTTGGCTTCGGGAGGAACCTCAGTACTCTTTTCTGGTGAAGGCTGTTGGAGTCACCTGCACACTGGCAGCCTGTGGCATTTTGGAGTACTATGTCCCTGGCAAGCCCCATCTCTGGCTTGCTCCCTGGCCCTCCCCAGCTTGGAGGGGCTTCCCAGCAGGCAGGCCCTGCTCCTCCATCTTGGGATGCCCCTGCCTCTTGGCTGGGCTCTGGGCTCCTCTCCAAGGCTGCTCTCCTCGCCCCCTCTCCTCTGGTGGCCCCAGTTTCACTGACCACCTGCCCAGGGCCCCCCTTCATCTGTCCCTTTTTCTTCTGGCCACTCCAGGTTCCAGCATCTCCTGCTCTGCACCACCCTGGCTCCCTCTCACGAGGGACCTCACCCAGGCCAGCCAGCTGGAAGGGAGTGAGGCCCGGGCCTCCCTCGAGGGAGGAGAGCCCGATGCCCCTGTCCACCTCCTTCAGGGTCCGCCCCAGAGCTCGGGCTGCCCCCAGAGCTGTTTGAAGATGGTCCTTACCGTGCTCATCCCTCGGCCAGCCTCCACAGGTGCAGGCTGCTGCCCCTGCGTCCTTCCTGTGCACATTCCTGTCTTCCTCAGCCCCTCAGCAAACAGCAAAGGCCAGCCCGACTTTGAAGTCAGATTACTGGGATTGTTTCATTTAGACCTAAGGAAAAGCCCCTCCTTTTCTCTGTTATTCTCACATACAAGGCCTCCTCCTCCCAGAGTGTGCAGGTGAGCCTCCTGTGCCCTCAGGTGACCTCAAAGGGGGTCTACATGGGAGCCTCAGGACCTGGGGAGGTTATCAGCCAGTGAGTGACCTGCCACCAGGCCCTCTAAGCTACGGCTTTACAAGAGACTTGCCTTCAGGAGATCCCATCCCGGGGTCCCTTGGGGGAGCTGAGATCAGGGGTAGCTCAGGGGCATCGTTTCCCATGGGAGGGTTGGCAGTAAGGCTGGCTCTGAGCCCACAGGCCTCCCCCGTGTCGAGTCTGCCCGCACTTGCCGAGGCACTCGGGTGTGTGGATTTCGCTGTGTGCCTGCCTGTCCTGTTGGTGTTGCTTTCTTCCTCTTGGTAGAGGCTTAAGCGTCCTGGACACACGTTCTCAGGCGCCAGCTGGTTCTTACCGGGAGTCACTGAGTCCCACTGGGTCTCATTTGCTGACCATCTCTGTTCTGTTGGGGGTGCTGGCCTCTGTGGAAGCGTCCCAGAATGGAGCCCACCCTCAGTCCTCATGCAGCCTCTTCTCCCAGGGGGCCCGCTCACCCCGCACTCTGGCCTCCCCAAGCAGGTTTTGCAAAGGCTGCAAATACAGATCACATTGATCCCTTCTTCCTTTATGCCCCCACTGGATGTGGCCTGTCAGGCTCCTGTCAGCAAGGGAGTAATATTTTTACATTTAACTGTTTGCTAAATAACCAGGGTGGCCCTGCACAATGACCGAGAGTCCCCCGGTTTCCCTGAGGGTCTTTGTTCTGCAAGGATTGCAGAGGCTGCAATCCCACAGTTAGTCCATCAGGACCCAGCTCTCTTGGGGCAGAACTGGCCAAATTTCAACAACAACTCATTTTTCCACCCTGACTGGGTGTGTTCCTAATGGCAGACGGGAACCACTGACCCAGCGGCCCAGGCTCACACAGATGCTTTCCATTGTCACACCCATAATAAAATAATCCCTCTTTATTCTCCTTGTCTCTCTCTCTCTCTCTCTCTCTCTCTCTCTCTCTCTCTCTCTCTCTCTCTCTGTCTTGCTCTTTCTCACTTCCAGGTGCAAATAGTCTACAAACCAGTGGACCTAAGCAAGGTGACCTCCAAGTGCGGCTCCTTAGGCAACATCCATCATAAACCAGGTAGCCCTCTGGGACGGGAAGGGCCTGGGGTGGGGCAGGGAGGGGCAGAGTGCTGGGAAGGATTTGTTGCCTGGATCCTGCAGGAGAGTTGTGTAGAGCTTGCTGGGGCCTGGGAGGCGTGGCTGCCCCAGCTGCTCCTGAGCAGGGCCTTATTGGCTAAGATAAGGCATGGAGGGAGGGGGGATGCTGGTCCCCAACCTGTGACTGATTCTCCAGCAGTTTGTACACGGTGCCTTTAGGGTGCCCCTGAAGGCCAGCTATATGGATGGCCTAGTTTGGTTCCCATCCAACATGGGGGATACTTCACCACCCGCATCAGCTACAACATGAGATCCCTGGGCTATTGTCATGCCCTTGCTGTGACTTTGTTTAAATAGAAAACGAGGCCACTGGAGAGCCCCCATGCTACTCTCCCTCCTATCCCGCATGTAAGGAAATCAGTGCGCCCTTCATCTCTCTGCAGTGACAGAAATGTACACCTGTGCTGTCCAATGTAGCCAGTAACCACAGGAGGCTATTGAGCACTTGAAATGGGGCTAATGCAATTGAAGAATTGAAATAATTTTATTTAATTAAAATGTAAATAGCCGCAGTCAGTCAGCGGTGACCATATTGAACAGCACAGGTATAGATATTTTTTTGGTAGTGGGGATTGAACCCAAGGTGCCCTACCACTGAGCTACATCCATCCCTAGCCATTCTTATTTTAAGACAGTGTCCCACTAACTTGCCAAAGGTCTCACTAAATTGCCAAGGCTGGCCTTGAACTTGTGATCCTCCAGCCTCCCAAGGCCCTGGGATTTCTGGCGTGCGTGCCCCATGGTGTCTGCAGCATAGATTCCAAATGGCACATGAGAGTCCACAGCAGGGACTTCTGCCTCCCTCAGGCTCTATCTGGAGCAGAGGTCTTTACTGGAAAGAGAAAGTCAATTTGGACCAGGACATGTCTGATTTTTTTTGTCTGGCTCCCTGGACATTTTGTAGGAGTTGAGTATCAGAGAAAACTGCGCTACGCCACACCTGGGGCAACCATCCTCATGTGCTGTGAGTGGCTGTCTTCATCCTCCTCAAGAAATCCTCGTGCCCTGTCTCCCACTCTTGGGCTTGGCATAAAGGGTCAAGGAGGGCTGGGTGCCATGGTGCATTCTGTAATTCTAGCAACTTGGGAGGCTGAGGCAGGAGGATCACAAGTTCGAGACCAGCCTAGACAATTTAGCAAGACCCTGTCTAAAAGATAAAAGGGTTGGAGATGTAGCTTAGGAGTAAAACACTCCTGGATTCAATCTTTTGTTCCCTGAAAAAGATAAAGAAAGGGTCAAGGAGGGAGAAAGGGTTGGGGGTCTTTCCGTTTTTAGTGTGCATTTTGACAGTTAATTTGATTCTGAGATCTCTCAGGGCGATATTACAGGATATTGATATGGGAAGATCTCACTTTTTGGAAGTCAACCAATTTAGAAGTTAGCATAATTTCTCCCCAACTGAGCTGTCATTTACCTTTGCATTATCTAAGGAAGAAGAGTTTTCATAGTAAATATTTGATGTACACCTTGATTAGAGAGATGATGCAATGTTTTCAAGCTCTTTGCAAGGATGTACTTATACCCAAACACATTCTAAACAAAGGAGAATCTCAACAACTCTCCCTGAATCACTGGCTCGGTCCCCCTTGGAGTCCCAGTGCTGTCCTGTCGTCAAGGACTCCCCTCCAGAGCCCTGGGGTCTCACTTAAATTTGCGGTGCCCCAGCAGCCCCTGGCATTTGGCTCCGCAGACTGCAGCTCTCATTCAGTGGATGCTTAGTCTACTAAACCACAGGGAGAGATGGCAAGAAACTGCTGTGTGTGTTGTGTTCCAGGAGGTGGCCAGGTGGAAGTAAAATCTGAGAAACTGGACTTCAAGGATAGAGTCCAGTCGAAGATTGGGTCTCTGGATAATATCACCCATGTCCCTGGAGGAGGAAATAAGAAGGTAAGGGGGAAGGGCAGGAAGGAGGCCACATTTGGATATGGGTGTTCATTGCCTGGTCAAGGCTTGTCTAGTTTTCCAAAGGTGGAAAGCAAGGGATCTTGCCTGGACTGTCTTAGCAGCATCCAGGACATCGGGTCTAGACCTTAGCTGCCCATTGCAGTCACATGGGAGTTCTAACAAATTTGAGACCTGAAGATGCTAATTAGTCTCAGGTGCAACTGGGTAGATGAGGTTTTTTAATAACAGCTCTCAAATGATTTTTTAGTTATAGATGGACACAGTACCTTTATTTTATTTATTTTTATGTGGTGCCTAGAATCGAACACAAGGCCTCACACATGTGAGGCAAGCACACTACCACCGAGCCACAACCACAGTCCCTCAGGTGATTTTTTAGTGCAAAGGTGAGAACCACTGTGCCAGGCCCTGGGGTTCATAAACACCCACAAAGGCAAGTAGCCATCCCCCAGGTCAGCCCTGGTACACAAGGAACAGTTATGGGAACGTCACCAAATTGTGGGACTTTCCCCACTTGCTCTAGGTTAAGGTACTTTGGTGGTCATCAGGCCTGGCCTCTCCCCAGAATCTGACTCAGTGGATCTGGGACAGGCCTGGGCATTGGAGATCCTCCGGGTTAAAGAAGGCTTCCACCAGTCTCTGGAAACTTCTGTGCCCTGGGGTAAGTTCTGGGCTTGACTCTGGAAGTCTGTTGTGATTGAGGCAAGACCCAAAGATTTTCAGCCTCAATTTCTCCTTTAGCAAGACAGGATGGAAATACACAAATCCTGGGGAGTTTGTGAGCCCCAAATGAGCCTGCGTCTGGAAGGGGCCTGGTGACTTGCAGGAGCCACGTCTAAGCCAAGTTTCTCAACTCCTGTTTCTAATTCATCTCTGTGATGACCCAGAAAGGGTGGGCAGGGCCCTGCGTCTGCTCAGAACACACTGTCCTCATCCCAGGGGATCCTCTTCTGATTCAGTCCCCCATTTCCCTACTATGATAAACAAAATTGCAAACAGGGAGCAGAGCACATGACCAGCCCCATGGGTTCCTTTCAATTTGCGGGATTTTTGGACATTCCCAGGAATCTGTCCTTCTATTTTTTAATTTTTTTAAAGAAACAGCACTTACAAACAGCAACAATAAAAACAATTAATTGCTACTGGGGGTGTAGCTCAGAGGCACAACGTTTTCCTAGTATGAGAAAGGCCCTGGGTTCCACTGTCAGCATCACAGGAAAAAAAATTAGCATAAAAGTTCTTATCACAGCTTTTCTCAAATAACCTTTCAAGTACAGTAGTATGAAAGGGTCCTCTTTTCAAAACAGTGACCCAGAACGAATGACATATGCACCTATCCTGAATGGGAGTCTGGCTTTTATCTATACCCACATCAAACCGCTGAAATCAGGCTCTTCACTTGGGTTTTCATGGACGCCTGAAATTGCGTGGAAAGGAGGCACCGTGTGTGGGAGCACATGTGTTCACATTTTTCTTGCTTCAGCAGATACTCAAAGAGTCTGGGACCCAACATAAGATGGAGTTATGGTGTTGTCTACTTTGAGTAAATCAGGAGAGAATATTATGCAAACTCATATTTCCAGCTAAAACTTCCTACTTCTGAATTTCCTGGTATCCTTGGGACTCCTGGCTTTGTTGCTGTCCCTTTAGGAAGGTCATCTCGTCATTTCTTCTAGCGTACCAAGGAGAGTTGCCCATAGTTGCTGCCACCTCAGACTCATCAGTCCCTGGCACTGGGAAGGCGTTTGTGAAGCTCCAGGCTGGCATAGGTGGCTCTGGAGATGGCCCTTGACTTTCTGAAGCTTCTCCTTCAACACCTTTACTTGCAAGTTGGTGATAATCTAGAGGAACATAATGTGGGGGGCAGTGTGGGGCTCAGTGGTAGAGCCCGTGCTTGTCAAGCACAAAGCCCTGGGTTCCATCCCCAGCACAAGGGAGAAACCTATCTTTTGACTTAGCGTCTCCACTTCTAGGAGACAGAAGTGGAGACACTTACATGAGTGTAAAATGATGTGTGTACAAGGTCACTCAAGGTTATTCGAATGTTCTTCTGCATAAACGAAGCTCTAGCACTCTGGGCTTCTGAAAAAGACTGGAAGCTCCTAAATGGCCATATGCTGGGGAGTAAGTTTTGGTCCCTCTGCTGTGTTGATGTGCTGAGCAGTATGTCCTGATAGCAGAAGGAAGTGAGTTTGAAAATCAAAGTGCAAAGCATGTGTATATTGTTACCATAGCTGCTGAACACACATGTATGTTCGGACTCTGGCACCCATTTGTATGTGTGTGGGACATCTCTGGAAGGTACACAAGAAACACACTAGTTATTGTGTCTGGAGAAGCAGGTGAGGAAAGGACCGTTGGTACAAGCACAGCCAGTTGGAAGGCTAGGCCAGTCCCTGGTGGTGGTGGGGTCTTCAGGGCCTGTCCTTCTCTCCCTGGCACTTTGTCACACCCTGACTCTCCTTGCAGATCGAAACCCACAAGCTGACCTTCCGAGAGAATGCCAAAGCCAAGACGGACCACGGGGCAGAAATCGTGTACAAGTCACCAGTGGTGTCCGGGGACACGTCTCCCAGGCACCTCAGCAACGTCTCCTCCACCGGTAGCATCAACATGGTGGACTCGCCCCAGCTCGCCACGCTAGCCGACGAAGTGTCTGCCTCCCTGGCCAAGCAGGGTTTGTGATCAGGCCCCCGGGGCAGTCAATAATCGTGGAGAGAAGAGAGAGTGAGAGAGTGTGGAAAAAAAAAAGAATAATGATCTGGCCCCTCGCCCTCTGCCCTCCCCCGCTGCTCCTCACAGACGGGTCAACCGGGTCGTCACCTAACCTGCTTTTGTGGCTCGGCTTTGGCTCGGGACTTCAAAATCAGTGATGGGAATAAGAGCAAATTTCATCTTTCCAAATTGATTGGTGGGCTAACAATAAAATATTTTTCAAAAAACAAAACACACACAAACATGTAAAAACATGGCCACACCAACATTTCCGTGGGCAATTCCTTTCGATTCTTTTTTTTTCCCCTCTGAGTAGAAGAGGGCGAAGGAGAGGCTCTGAGAGCTGCTTCCGGGCAATTTAAGGGACTAGGGTGCCCGCCACCTCGAACCCCATCTGAGGGTGTCACAGGGACAGCGGCAGCAACGAAGGATGGGAAACCTGGTGAGCTGCAGCCCCAGGCCGAGGATGTCAACCTAGGGTGCCCTGTGGGGCAGAGTGGGGCGAGGGGCCAGGTGGGGCGGCCTGCGCTACTTCTTGGCCCGGGGTCTGCTGCCCCCTCTGGAAGGTGGCCTGTGGGAGAAGAGGCACTGAACAGAAGGAAGGTGGGCGGGAGGGTGGCACCCTGTGGATTACTTCCTTGGAGAAGGCTGACCCTGCCATCCCAGAGCGCTGGCTCTCCTCCCTGCAGGTGGGGGGTCCTGAGCTGAGGGGCCCTGGGCCCAAAGGCCCCGACTGACTGAGTTCTGAAGGTTGGAACTGCAGCCACGATTTTGACCACCTCACAGATCTGGGACTTCAGGGCTAACCAGTTCTCTTTGTAAGGACTTGTGCCTCTTGGGGGACATCCTCCTGTCCCCAAGCCTGGGCCTCCGGCATCCATGGAGTGTGTGGGGTAGGGGTAGTATTTGGGAGGTGGGTACTAAGCCTCCCATCCTTTCCATGGCCACTGCAGCCCCCTCTGCCTGTCTCTCTGTACTCGTATGTCTGCCGTGAGAGCCCAATCACTGCCGTACCCCTCATTATGCCACTGTCCCGAGTGCCCAGCCTCCCCCAATCCCCAGTCATGGACACTGGTTAAATGCTGGCTGCACCTACTCTACACTAAGGGTAAAATCAAGGGAGGGCAAAGTCCAGGTACAAGGGCTGGAATTCATTATCTTGCTATAAGTCCCACTGACCCAACTGGTATGAACCAGGGTGGGGTTGGCCATGACCCTAGATGTTTTTGCCTTCCTTGTTGACTTGTCTGATAGGCTTGGTTCCCTTCCTGTGTTGAGCTGGTAGCAGGAGGTAGGATGTCCTGGTTGCTAGTAATAATAACACAAGGATGGGCAGGTGACTCCCAGGGCAGGGCCACACTCTCTGTCCCTCACTTCCACCCCAGCTTAACTGCCAGCCTCCCAGAGCCCAGCCACCGTTCAACTCCATGTGCATGGAATCAGCCCTCCACACCCTCAAGCAGGGAACATGCCCCTCGGAAATGATTCTTTTCCCCAGTCCCAGTTGAAAGCAATGCTGTTTGATCTGCTGGAGCAGCTGGACATATACATAGATGTTGCCCTTCCCTCCCCCGTCTGCACCCTGTTGCGTTGTAGTTGGATTTGTCTGTTTGGATTCACAAGAGTGACTAAGATAGTGAGTGTAAAAAAAAAAAAAAAAAAAAAAAAAGAAAGAAAAAACCAAAAAAAAAAAAAAAAAAAAACCCGGACGCATGCATCTCAAAACGCTTGTAAAGAGGCTTCTAGCCCACCCTCATGAGGGTCCTGGATGTCTCTCACCCTCATACAGGTACTTGGCTCCAAGAGGCAGGTGTAGCTGTACCCTGCAGGGGCCACCTAAGTTTTGAAAGGGTTTCTTCAACATCTGGGACCCAACAGAGACCAGATTCTGACACCTGAGGGCTGTCAGCTGTGAAGAAGGCCGGAGGCACAGGGCTAGGACAGAAACATGGTGCCTCCCTCTGTCTCTCAGGCTTTCTTGTCAGGGCAGGCTGTGGCTGGCCTGGTTTGCAGCATGGAGGTGGTCCTCTCTGGTGACAGCCTCAGGTGGGGAGAGAGCTGTAGCCCCCAGAAGCTCTACCCTTGGTCTGCGCCGTCATGAGGGACAATCTGGGCCTCCGCATCAGTAGGGACTGAGATGGATTGCTGCCAGCCTGGACAGGCTCCAAGGGGTCCTGGGCTATACTGACAGAGGAAGGGGAACTAGCTAGAAGACACCATTTCTTCCCATGCCCCCTGTTGCTGTGGAAAAAAGGAAGCTGCCTTTGTGGATACTCAGCTGCTTCCAATTTGGGTACAGATAAAGGCAATCCTGGGGCTGGGTGGGCAGGGCTGCCCATGCAAATTACCTGGGTCTTTAACTTTCTGCAGTGAGGTTTCCTACTGTCCTGACTCCCAGATAGAAAGTGTGTTTTAAAGATATGTGACCCTTCATCACTGCCACCGATTTCAGCTGTTTCTTCTTGCGCCTCTTCTTGTCCTCCTGCTGTTTTTCATGCCCTGCTCTTCAGCACCGTGGGTCTTACATGGAGAGCTCTGCAATCTCCCTCATGGGATGGGCTATTGGGGTCAGCCTAAACATCATGGTTTTGAGTGATCAGTTCAGTGCTGATAGGTAACTACCTATCATTTTAATGAGGACAATCCTCCCAGGGCTGGGCACTCCCCTCTCCCTCCATTTGTCCCACCTCCATAGCCAATGTCCCTGGGTGGGCTAGATAGGATATACTATATGCCTGGTTCATTCAAGCTCTCAATTCACTTTATCAATAGTTCCATTTAAACTGACTTCTGTGGTGAGACTGCATCCTGTTTATGATTGCTTGCTGTGCTATGGGGGGAGGGGGAGGACCATGTAAGACAGTTCATATGGGCAAAGGGAAGGTTTGGAGTGCGCAATTAGGTTGCCTTGAAGCCCTTTTCATAATTTCAACCACAACTGCTTAGAGGGAGGGGGGTGCCATGGGCTTGAGGCCATGGGGCTGTGCTGTTCTGAAAGGGTTTCCCAGTTGCAGAGGCAGCTAGCTAGTTTTCCAACCCCTCCCAGCCAGTTATGAGGCTTGTGTAGGAACTGGAGATTGGAGATCCTGTTGCTCTGGCCTGCTGCTGCTGCACTTTGGTGGAGTTCTGAATCCACAATCTTACCTCCCCAAGACCCTGGCATCCTTTCCTCTAAGCTATTGGCACCTCAGCGTCACCTCTCCCACTGGGCCTAACTTCTAGCAGCTATCTCTTCCTTTATTTCCCTTGTCTTTGTTCCTGAAATAAAACAAGAGTTGGGGACAGAGGAAAGAGGTGGTTATCAGCTACAGGTCTGTGGCTTTATGAGCCTCCCAACTTCTCTCCACCTTTGGAAAGGGTTACCCTGGGCACTGACCCAGAGTATCACCTCCTAATGGACTTAGTCCATGAATCTGCTGTGCTGGGCAGGATGATTTCCGACACTTGCAAGTCCCATAACTTCTTTGGTAATTTTGAGGGTGGGGGGAGGGACATAAAATCATTTTAGCTTAGCTTTCTGTCTGTGAATGTCCATATAGTGTATTGTGTGTTTTAACAAATGATTTACACTGACTGTTGATGTAAAAGTGAATTTGGAAATAAAGTTATTACTCTGATTAAATAAGATCTCTGGCTCATGGATTCCAAGGACAAGAAAATTATACAGAATGTATAACTCCCAAGTTCTTTTTCACACTTAAACTTAGAACAAGAAATAACCATTTTGTTAAAAGCTGGACATGAGGCTTAACAGCTCTTTCTGGGGACCTGAAGGTGAAAAGAGAATCCATACTTGGTCATTCTCAGTTGATGCTTTCATTCTAGTTCTGGCAAACCTTTCCGACCAACTCAAATGGGCAATGAATACCCATTAAACTCACAATACTGTACTAAAGCATTAAGACCCATGCCAGTGCACTCGAACCTGAGATTAGTCTAGAGGCCTGAGACTAAAGCAGAAAATAAGTCATTTACCTGAATGAATGGCTTAGATCCCTTACAGGTTTATACACATAGCTGTCTTCTTTCCTTTGGAACCTTATTGCGGATTAACTCACCATATTATTCCTTAGTAATCATGTCAAGGTCATGATACTGCTGGGAGCTACTTCAGTCAAGCAGATCTTAACTCCAACTAAAGCAGCAGCACCAGCTAGCTAACAAGGGATGCTCTCAGAATGACTGCTTTCAGAGCCATGATTGCAGCCTCATTTGCTGTTCTGGCTTCACTGCTATGGAAAGGAGGAGAGAGAGAGAACCGGGTCCACCCACTCATTCGTCTTCTACAAAGGAAACCAAGCACTTAGCCTCCTCAGGAGAAATATGTTGTGATCTCTTAGGTGGCAGGCCAAAGAAACAATCCAGGTACCATTAAAATTATACATATTCTCATTGACTCCCAACTCCAGAAAAGTTAAATGGTGAAAAATAAAATCTTCATTAAAGAACAATTTAGATTTAGATACATACAGTGCTGGCCTCACTAGAGAAAGAACACTGAGAGGCCACAGATGGACTGCTTTCACTCAGTAAGATCAGACAGTCTTGTGCGGGCCTCTCTCCTCCTGGTACCCCTCATCTCAGTGAAAACCATCATGTCCTCTCTCATGACCATCACATGAACCTGCCATGCTCCCAGAAGACAAAGGTCTCCAAGGTTCAGAGCCAGCCAGACTCCCCAAAGTCTGGCTCCAGCAGAGCTGCCTCCAGAGCTACCATCACTGCCATGGACACCAAAGTCTCGTAGGTCAATAAAGGGCTGACACCCAATATTCTGTAACTCTTTTTTTTTTTATTATTATTTTTTTCATTTTTCCTTCCTTTTTTTTAAGCACTAGTCTGTGCTTTGCGAACAGAATCAAGACATTAACAAAGATCAGCTTCTCTGAAGAAAAGCATTTCTATAGAACAAAGACAGCTACATGTTTCGCTGCCATTACACAGCTCAAAGCAGGAAAAGAAAATATTTACAAAATACAAGTTTTTTTTAATTTTTGTTTTTTTTTTCTTTTTGTCTTTTTTTTTTTTTTTTACAATGCTAAAAGGGTTATTCAGAATTTTCAACCTTATAAATAGAAGAAGCACTTTATGCATAGGGATATGGTGCATTATTGTTGTTTAAAGAAACAATGACAAACCCTTTAACTTGCAAACAGAAAAAAAAAATCACTAATGTTGAAAATTGTGAAAAAACCCCAACCATTAAGCAGTTTTGCCTATAATTTTTATACGATTACAAAATGGCAGAAAAAAAAAGTCCTTCCCCCCGCCCCCTTTTTGGTGATGTGGTTACACATGAGACAAGCACAAGGTTAACAAAGGAGGGTGATGGGGAGTGATGAAAACCACAGCAAGGTCCAGACAATGTTCCACAGGCAAGGGGAGCGTGAAAGAGGAAGAGTCTAATTGACACTGACAGGGAAATAGAGGTGAAGGAAACATGACAAAGTGAACCAGTCAGTGAAAGCAAAATTATACAGGGGAGATGGCTGCTCGCATCCCCAATCTCCTAGTTTGTAGGGGAGTGGGGATGAGGTTAAGGAGACCCTACCTTCACAGACCAGGCCAACATGGGAGGACTGATGTGTGTGGGTGTGTGCATGGCATGGGGAGCAGACGAGGAAGGGCAGGAAGGGGCAGGATGGGGGAACCTGAGCAGCCGCAGCCAGGTTACTGCAGTTAAGGAGTCAAGAAAGAGATGACCAAATGCAGATGAAACTGAAAACAGGTCTTGAAGACCTGGGTGACAAGGGGGAGCCATCCTGCTGGCTGAGAGCTCAGTGAGAACAGCTGGCAATTATGGCAAAGAGGCTCTGATGGGGTTCTCCAGCACAGAAAACCAAAGCGGGGGTAGGGGGACCCAGCCAGAAACACTAGAGCTTAGCCAAGCCACAGATGGGAGGGAAGGGGAGTAAGAGCCCAGAGTGCCCTTGTTCTGTCCCATCCTAAACTAAAAGGCCATGCTGAACTGGAGCTTTCCATCCCCTCTGCCCTTTGGCTTTTCTATCCTGCCCACAGGTATGAAGGAGAGGGGTGATCATCTAACATTGCTAAGTCCAGTGATTCAACAGCGCAGAGGATGTACCAGGACCAGGCCATCAGGGTCTTATCCTGAACTTGTCTGCCAACTAGAGGAAGTGCTCAGGTGGGTGACAAGAAAACATGGAAACAGAAACAAAACAAAAATCAAAATGAGGAAAAAAAAATACCAAAGGAGGATCTAAATTCCTTAAATTCACTAAAAACTGTGAAAATTTCCGGCATATGATGTTTGAATATCAAACGCAGAGATTTCTGAAGCTTTAATGCCAATAGTTAGTGAGTCTGTTTAGATTCTCATCTCCAGCTCATCTGTGAGTTGGGCGCTGAGCTGTGACCGTTGCTGCCAGATGCCGACTCTTGAGGGGGACAATGGGAGGCGAGGTGGGTGCCACCTCTAATTCCCGACCAGTCTTGCTGCCTGAGGTGCGGCGAGTGCAGCGGGCTGCCCGTTCCTGTGCATCCAGCTGGTCCTCACACTCTGCCTGGGGACTGTATGGCAGGGGGAAGGTTCGTCGCTCCCATGGCTGGACAGACTGTGGGCAGACAATTTGCTCTGGTGAGGACCCAAGCCAGCTTCCTGCCCCAAAGCTTGTGGACTGAAGCCCATGACCAGTCTATTTGGATTTTCTGAGCCAATTCAGAAGACCCTTCACAGAGTGGGCACTCATTTAACAATGGTTGGTACAATTCCCTTGTACCTGCAGAAAATCAATTTGAAGTGCATGATCCCACCTGCTCCAAATGGGGAGAAGGAATCATAAAAATGAAGATTCATTTTCTGCAGGTACTACCCCTTCCTGATTCCACCCGCCACTTTGCCAACCCCAGGCAAAGGTGGTATACCTCACCTGTTCATCCAATCCCAGCTCTGGTGTGGAACAACGGGTGTCTTCGCTGGCTAAGTGTCGCAGAGTGTCCCGAGCCATAGGGGTGAGAGGTGCCGAGTGCAGTTCTGGGCTAATGGGGCTCCTAGGAGACTGACCGTGGGATAACTCTGACAGAGAATGGCTACTACTGACATCAGGGGAGGCGGGCTGTGGAGTGGAGGGGTTGGCACTGCCCAACTGTGGGGTGGTCCGGCCGTCTGATGACCTGTAAGACCTGTACACCAAGAAATGCAGCTGTGAGTGTAGGCTAATGGAGGAGTTCTTGTCTGTGTATTTCTGCGTGGGTGAGGACGATGTATGAAAAAAGCATCCCTACCAACAGACACTGATGCTGACTGATACCAGCGTGTTCTTAAGATTTAGCAAATCTCGCTTCATTCTACTACTGCCCAGAGTAGGAGATACAAAACGTAACATCTGAGAACTATGTACATCTATCATCCTGAGAAAGTCAGGGCTAAACAATGCCCAGGGCTAATGCCTGGCAGAGAACATAGTGATTTCACGGGAATAGGGAATTTAGTCCAAACTCGGATAAATGGAAACAGGATAGTGATGTGTGAGATAGTGAACTGTGGTTTCCCACTTCAGAGAACTAACTCAAAGAGGGTTAACTTGTGGTGAGGCCTTCAAAACTCCTTCAGCTCAATCACCATGACTGGCCTTCAATAGCCATAGGCAATCACAATAATTTATGAGAACCAGACAGGGACTACTCAGCAAGAATGTAGCATTTGACTTAGACATTCCTCTCCTAGTTCCAACAAATACTAGAAACTTGTAATTAATTCTAGGACATTGTCAATAGATGATATGAAAAGCAAACACTCCTGTGCACTGGCAATTCTGTGGACACAGGCAGGGCCCAAACTCCCTATGCACCACCCTCCCTCCACAGGCCCTGGGAACCTGTGCCTGCCCCATTACCTGCTGCCCCGCCGCTGGGGTGGCATACTCGTGGTCCACAGCCACCGTGCCCTCTCCATTTCCTCACATTTGGCATGCAGGGCGGCGAAGGCTGCATCAGATAGGTCCTCGATCTGCAACAGAACAGCTTCATTGAGTCTCTCTTTCCCCCAGGAAGCTGAGTTTAAGTATGGATATAGCAATTCTAGAACCAGCCCCACCCCTTTCTAGGTTCTTCCTGGACAGGACAGGTATACACGGAGCTTTCACTTGACACCCACAGGTCTTGAGGCATCTTGAATATGTGTACCCAAGAGTGTGTTTTCTTCTAAGAGAGTATGACCATGCCATTACCTCCTCATTCTCCTCATCAGGACTCCCCTTCAGAGATTGAAGATCAACCTCCCGCCAGCTGCAAAACCAAGAAGGAAAAAAAGTCCCATTAGATGGTAGGCAGGCTGCTTGGGGAAGGCTCAGCCCTATCACAGCTCATCCTCTGTAACCCTGAGACCTCAAAAAAAAAAAAAAAAAAAGTCCTCATATTCAAATACCCACAAAGGCCAGAAACACAAGCAGCAAGCTGGGGTTGGGGATGACAGACTAACAAACTAAAGCAAGGGAACCTCTTTTAAAGGGGACAAACACTATTCAGGACTGGTACCATTATGAGAATGTAAGTAACAGATAAAATCAACAAATATTGGAAATAATTCTGCCTTGAATTTGAAAACAAATTCAGTATTTTAATAAAACATGTTTATATGCTAATCATGGTCAGTGGCCTGCCAGGCTGTGACCTCTGGTCATATAATGTAACAAGAGAAAATTATATAGAGAAACAATTTCACTCCCTAGGTAAGACTTTCATTTAAAGAGAAGACAGAACACCCCGTGGACTCAGTGGCACATGCTTATAATCCCACATACTTTAGGAGTTGAGGCAGGAGGATATCAAGTTCCAAGCCAGCCTGGGCAACTTTAGTAAGACCATGTATGTCTCAAAATAAAATTAAAAAAAAAAAAAGGGACTGGGGATGTGCTTGCCTAACAGTTTTGAGGCCCTGGGTCCTATTCCTAATATGGTAAGTGAGAGAAAAAAAAAAGTGGGGGAGGAGAGGGAGATTAAGAGAGAAGACAGAACCCGAAGGTTGGTCAGAAGAGAAGAGGGGAAAAGGGCAATAATAGAAGGGAGAGGAGCTGATTATTCAAGGCTTTTACCTGGGAGTAAGGATTTCCTTGTATTGTAGTTTCTCTACTCGAGTTGTCGCAGCAACAGACATTGGGATGACAATGTTATTAATGTCAAACGAGCTCTCTCCCCTTCTCCTCCTTACTGGCTGCTGTTAAGACAAAGGTTATGTTTTAAGAGAGGCACAATTTTATAAACGTTAAATCATTCATTTAAGATATAAGCAGGATCACCAATAATCAGGTATTTGGGTCCTTAGACAGAACTCTGTAGTGAATGCCATGGCTCACCCCTAGGAAACTGTCTCCAAGAGCAGAGTCCTTGGGGAAATACCAGATGATCCCAAGGAGTAACTTTCATTCATATTGCCCCACTAGCCCCCTTTTCCTTCATGAGCTCATGTGAAAAGAGATTCGTTGAATTTTATAGAGGTGAGTATTCAGGGGTTTTAGGTCAGCTGTTGAAGTTTTTATTCCTCTATAAAAACTCTATTAACACCCTCCTTTAAAAATCCCTACTCCCCTCTTTTATTCCTGAACCCTATCACTTAGCTCCTAAATAGCAATGTTTATGTTTAGTGATGACTTCTGGGTTACAAATACTGAGTTCTCTTACTCTGAAAGACGCTCTAAGGGTAGGCCCTCTCAACAGACCATCTCACCTTGGTTGTTATGAAAGCATTCTCCTCTCTTTAGCTAAAATCTGCACCCACCACCTGCTTGGCTCTTGGGTAATTTCCCCTATTATACTTGGAGAAAGAGCCTAGAGCCTTCCAGTTGCATCACTGAGATGAGGGAAACTTAAGAGGAGGAAGTATCCACAACTCCCATTCCTGAAGAAAGAAATGTGCTCTGATGGGAAGTGAAGAAGATCAAACCCTCGGGGAAACAAGACTTCCAAGGATCCAATTTCAGAGGCAGAGGTGGGTATCTATTGTAGCTGAGAGATCAGGAAGGAATGAAGTAGGGAGCCAACTGGCCTGGTTTCTTAGATGGAAGAGAATGTCTACTAGCTGCTTCTGTCCATACAGCATATATCTTATCCTGAAACAGACTGTTAACTGAGCTGTGAGGGAAACAGTGGGATGACAAACATGCTGCCATGGCAACAATACACCTGGAAACATCTAAGAGGTTACATTCACACCCAAACCACTAAGTGTGGCCAAGCCTCAGAGGAGGGGCTTGTGAAAGGAGATAAGGAGGGTCAGAATTTCCCCTACAACTAACTACAGCTATCCTCAGTTCTTGGAAAGCGATGTACAGTTTATTCACTCCATCATCTTAGAACATTTTCAGGGAATATTAAAAATTAGCACTTCCTGGACCAGGATTTCAGCTGCTGTCATTTATGATTTCAGGTAACCACAAAGTCTTTTCCACTTCTATCTCCTTCTCTATCAACTCAACTAGACTTGTCAATAAATTCAAATTTACAGCAACTGCTTAACCAAAATGGTTGAAAGATTTTTTGCAAATCTGGACTGGCTGGGTTCTACAGCTAAGGATCAGTGACCTCATACACAAAAGCTTTAGCTACTGCCACATCTATGTTCAAGTTTCATCCATGTCCCACAAAAGAACGCAAAGAAAGGGTGCCTTAGGAGATTCAACCTTCTCTGTACCTTGGTCAAGAATGTGAAACTGCTGGAAAACAGGTATGTATTTTCCTCAAATCTTTCTGGGCCTGCTATTTGTACCGTCCAGGCAAAGTGGCTTGTGGAACTGTCGAAGAACAACTTCTACCTCTCATCTTTGTCCTAGGCCCCCGCATTCTGTCAGCTTCTTTTGATCTAACTTAACTACGTTCTCCTATTTAGAGCCAGAGGTAGAGAGCAGGCAATGAGAACAGTAAGTGGTTCCTATATCTAGTTGTACATCAGAAAACAAGAAAGGAGAGAAGGAAAGTAGGTAGGTTGGTTGGTTGTGGTAAAAATATATTTTTTTAAAGCCACTAAAGTGATTCTACTGCAACCAGTGACTGGCAAAGCACTACCACAAATACCTTGCTCCCACCATAATTTCTCCAGTGTAATCCAGTCTCTCTCTGAATAATTGGCCAATCACTCTGCTTACTATTACATAAATCCATATTCACTGAATAGGAATGAAAGCATTAAGGGTCAGCAGAGTGCTATACACAAAAATCTATATGCCAGGGCTGGGGCCGTGGCTCAGTGGTAGAGCGCTCGCCTAGCATGCATAAGGCACTGGGTTCGATTCTCAGCACCACATAAAAATAAAATTAAAAAATATATTGTGCCCACCTATAACTAAAAAATAAATATTTAAAAAAAATCTATATGCCAAAATTAAGTAAAAATTCCAAAGCATCCAGGCCCAGATTAACATTTTTTCAGACTCAGGAAGCCTGATATATTCAACAAGTCCCAGATCTTAATAGCTTATATTTTCTATCACAATGAGACTTCTAAATTCTTTGATTATCTGAAACCCATGCTGGTGAATAATTGAATGTGTGAGGTGAAGAAGGGGAGGTAGTAAGAAGCCCTCTGAAAAAGATGGTTTGATTCGTAAAAGCAAAAAGAGAACAATGTGAATTCCTACCTGATGATAGGAGCCTAGGGAGCACATTTTGTGAGCTTAGAAGTTTCTTGATCTAAGCTCTGTAAGAGCTTTCTTTCTAAGTCACCTCCGTAATGCCTCCACCCTTAGACTGTGTACTGTCATGGTGAGAAAGCTGGCTCTGCAGTCACACTGTTGGGGTTTGAATCACAATTATAACCCTTCACAAGCTGCCTCACTTTATGCAATTTACTTAACATTGGAAAGCCTTAGTTTTCATGCCCAAAACATGAGAATTCATAAAACCACCTACATCTCAAAGGGTATTATAGAATTAAAAGGAATGACACACATCAAACACTTAGCACTGGCATAAGTGTACAATAAACATTAGTGTTCTAGAGTTTTATTATTACTGTTATAATTGTTATCGAAATTATTATATGAAGGACTCTAATGGATACAAATCAGCTACAAGTGTATGTGTTCAAGGGAGTGCAGCTTGAGAGATGAAAATATTAAAACAAAATTAATGAGAATGTTTGAAATGGCTGCAAACAGCTTGATGGATGGAATGTGGTACTGTCAAAGTTGATGGGGTGAGGGGAAGGAGTGCCTTAAATGGGCTGCCATTAGGAATGTACTATGTGGACACAACCACAGTGACCTGCTGAATTTGTAGTTCTGTTCTCTCCAACTAAAAAAAACATGGGACTCTCTGCCTACTCCCTTCCTTTCCAATACCTCACACCCAGTTTTCACTGGAAGTAACCTCCATTCACCATAAGAACAGAAATAAGGAAATCAACAGCTATCTCCAAAGCCTATCTTCCTCCTCTCACTTCTTGGGCCAAGAGAGTTAAGGCCATGGTACTGTAGACTTCTGTCTGAAGCTTAGTTCCACAAATCTTGAGCAGTCAGAGATCACCTTAATAGTCTACTTCAGTATCAAGCTTCCTGTGGGTGGTTCAGCAGAGATCCAACTCTACTATGAAAAATAACAGATTAAGTACCACCACTATGGCTTAAAAATGAGTTACCACGAATGTCCTGGGCTTCATAACTTACCCTCTATAATATGCCCCAGAGACACGTGCATGAGGGGCAACCTGCAGAGGATGCCCAGCCAGATACACACAGGTACTTACAGAAGCACTGGCTGTAACCTGTGAGCCAGAGCTGGTGGGTGCGGAGCTGTCTGACGAGGTGGAAAGCTGTCGCACCAAGGGACTGTGTGGTGGATGGTGGGCAGCAGCCAAGTAGCTTGAACTGTTCACATCTGTGTGATGCTTCAACACTGCAGAAGTCAACAGAAAAGAAAGGAGTACATAACTATCTTAACAAGCTTCACTTCTAAATACACACTAAGGAACACCAGCAATATGCATGAAAGGTAAAAATGCTTTCTAAGCCTGGAGGATAAAAAGGTGAAGCAAACTTGATGATGAGAGGTAGGGGAATTGGCAGAGGTTGCTGCAGCGGTAAGAAGTGACCTGCATTTAGAAGCAGTAGTGCCCCCCTACTCAGCCTTCCTAGAAGGCGAAGGACAAAGCTGGCAGGCAATTAAGAGAAGCCTGGGCTGCCCCAGAAAGCCCTGAGCAGGTGCAAATGCAGGTAGAGGTGCCGGGCCTGGCCCTACCTTCACTTCTCTCAGATGAATGGTCTCGCAATCTCATTTTGCTGTGGTTTGGGTCATGCATGGGTGGCGGTGGGTTGAGCAAGCGCTCTGCTTTTGGCACTGTCACTCGCTCCACCATGGGCACAGCCCCCACATCGTCTAAGTGCTGCCTGTGGGTCCTGTAAGGCCGGGTTTGGTGATGGGACAGCTCTGAAGAGGGGAACAGAAAAAGAGCTGTGAAACACCTTCTCTCAAATCTTTTATTTGAGCCCTTAAGTTCTCTCTAGGTCAATGCTATATACTCAGGGCAGCAAGAAAGTCCTTTGGGACTGAAGCCTCTAGTAAATAGCACAATGGCTAGGACAGGCATAGGGAATCCATAACCAGAGAAATGTGACACCAGGCTACAAAAGACATAGCATTGCTGACAGGTGGATGCAATGCTATGTCACTGCCAACTGTTCAATGGACACTTTGGGTCTTCCCCATGATCCATGGTGTTTGGAATAGCTTCCAAAATCCATCTAATAGCATCTAAGACAAGCAGAAGTAGTAGACTGTGATACAACTGCCTTACCCAACACACTGGCATGGCAAACCAGTAACTTGAGAACATAAAAGAATGAAAAATAACTAGGACTCTGAAGGACTCCCCAGTTCTCTGAAACTTACTGGCTGTTGTCAGGAAGGAGTTGACCAACTTGTGCCTGTCTTTACGAGTTGGATCCGGCAGACTGCCTGGCATGGGTGCTCTGTGCTTAAGTGAGAACTTTTTGGGAGGTTTGATTTTGTCAAAAGGCTTGTTCTGCCATTGAGACTTTAGCATGCTCTGGAAGTGCAGGCTCGAGGGAACATCTGCAAGAAACAAAGAACACTGCAAGTCAGTCCAAACACCTGATCTCTGGGCTCCTCTTTCCTGAAACGATGGGTGTTCAACACTGACTCTCCTGGACTTGACAAGCAGAAGCTGTCAGATAGAAGATCCATCTATGAAAACCTTGGTAAACATAGTTCCTCTACTTACAAGCACGTTACTTGCCTTTTCATTTTCAAGTTCCAAGCAGGGGAGTGGAAATTCCAAACACCTTTTATTAGACTGATGGAGTCTCCCCTCAAGGATGCACTTCTCTAAGTCTGCTGTCTTTACTGGTTTAACAGACAGATGAACACCCTTTTTCTATTCTTCTAGAGACTAAAACCTGCTATCTTCTATCAGTGTAGACTTATCAGTTAGACCCTATCTCTAAATAAAATACAAAAGAGCTGCGGATGTGGCTCTGTGATCGAGTTCAATACTGGGTACCTCAATCCCACCTCACCCCCCGCTAAAAAAGAAAGATTCTACAAGGGGGCTACTTGGAAGGCAGGATAATATTCAGTTTGGGGCTAGCCTGGAAAACTTAGTGACAACCTGTCTCCAAAAAAAAAAAAAAAAAAAGGGACTGGGGACGTAGCTCAATGGTACTGCTTGCCTAGCATATAAGCAGCCCCAGGTTTGATCCCCAGCCCCCTGTATTATAAGAAGTGGGGGTGAGGGTGGGAGAGAGAGGACAGTGTTGCCAAGCACCCTTTCCTCCAAATAAGAAATACATAATACTTTCCTTCCTTTGTAGCCTCCTTACCTTCTCCCACCTCGGTTACCTAGGTTATTTTTCAGCTGAGCAGTTAAATGTTATACACCATAAATCAATTATCTTTTGAACTTAATTATAATCTTTAACTTTTTCTCACTACGTATTTTTAAGTACGAAATGCTTCAGGAAATTGTGTATCATCCTTGCAAAGGGGCCACACTAATATTCTCGGAATCATTCCAGTTTTAGTTTATGTGCTGCCGAAATGAGCACTCTTCACTATTATTTTTTTTATCTTTTCATTCTTTAGATTCCCCCCCCGCCCCACCCTCAAGATGGGGGTGGGTCTTGCTACACTGCTCAGCTGGTCACAACCTCCTGGCTCCAGTGATCTCTCAGCCTTCTGAGCAGCTGGGATTGTAGGTGCAAGCCACAGCACCCAGCTCTAGATTAATTTCAATTTCCCAATAGGTCCTTCAGGAATTCCTCTCTGACCTTTAAAGCTATTCTTCCATGGTATTCTACATCCAGTGTTATACATTAGAGAGAATCTGATTCTTATTTATTGTAGGTGGTCTGAGTTTTGTCTTTTAAGCTTTTGTGAAAAATTAAAACCAAACAACAAAACACCTAATGATACTCCAGTTCAATGTGGGGATAACAGTCATTTGTTCTGCCATGAATACTGAATTTCTAAATGTCAACATGTTATCTTTCTCTATTTATTTAGATTTTTCTTTTATTTTCTCTACAAAGTATTTGGTAGTTTTGGTGATCCCATTAAACTCTTTATGCCTTTGTGTTATTCCATAAAATTTTCTCTGTGTGTATCAGTAAAGAGATTATTTATTTTTTTTTACTTAGTCCTTTTATTTGATTTGACCCATTATTTTTGAACTCTAGTGACAATATGCAACTTTAAGATTTCTTTTTCTGTGGTACTAGGGATGGAACTCCAGGGAGATCTACCACTAAGCTACACGCCCAGACCTTTTTATTTTGAGATAGGATCTTGGAAAATTGCCTAGGCTAACCTGAAACTAGTGATCCTCTTGCCTCAGTCTCCTAAGTAGCAGGGATTATAGTTGCACACTACCATGTCCAGTTTAGATTTTCCTTGTTATGTTTTTGCAACATTCTGATATTTCACCACCATGGCTACATAGGTCTGAGTCTTTTTTTAGGGTTCTGGAAAGCTTTCCAGGATCATTTTAATCTAAAGGCCAGAATATTTCTTTTTGGGCCCCTGTTCCCCTAGGAAATCAAGTAACGAGTCATGAAACACTACAAAGTTCCAACCCTTGCAGAGCATGGAGGCACATGCCTGTGATCCCAGTGACTCAGGAGACTGAAGCAAGAGAATCAAGTTTGAGACTAGCCTAGGCAACTCAGTGAGGCTCTGTGTCAAAGGAAAAAATAAAAAGGGCTGGGCTTGTAGCTTAGTGGTAGAGTGCTCCTGGGCTCAGCTCCCAACATAGCAATAATATATATACTAATAAATCCAACCCTACTAGAGTCCATACTAGTCACTGCTTCAGTGTGAAAGGGGTATGAGAAGGGAAATCCAACTCATTCCAAATTTACACAACTGCTCAGGTTCTATCTAATCTATGCTCTTTAAGTCTAGATAAAGAAACTGCTTTAAGCAGCTCCCACTACACAGGAGCTTATTCCTGCCGGCGGTTTGGGCTATATTTTCCCCTATATTATTTCTCTGGCTTTCTTGTCAGAAAAATTCCATCTTTCAAAATTCAATGAAAGTTCACTTATTCTACTTAGTAGTTTCTAAATGTTTATGGTGTTTTGGCCTCCAGAAAGGACAAAGGATGTGTTCAATTAGAACCAGGATAGGGAGTCAGGGAAGAGATGAATAAATTACCATCACTGAATCCATTCTTATGTGACAGGCATATTATGTGTGTATCACTAACCTTTTCAACAATTCCATGAAGTGAGCATCATTATGCTTATTTTGAAGACAGGAAACAAAATCAGGGTGAATTAACTCTGTCTAAGGTTACAAAGTAACACTGCCAGGCATGGTGGTGCATACCTATAATCCCAACTGCTCAGGAGGCTGAGGCAGAAGGATCCAAATTTGAGGCCAGCCTCAGCAACTTAGTGAGACCCTGTCTCAAAAAGGACTAGGGACATGGCTCGGGTAGTTAAGTAGTTAAGTGCCCCTGGGTTTAAGCCCCAATACCTTTAAAAAAGAAAGAAAAGAAGAAAAAAAAAAAAAAAGACAATAACTGAGAACAGTGCAATCTTCTGAAAAAAAATTTCCCAAATCATTCTTTCTCATTCACATATAAAAACAAACTCACCTATACCAATTCCTAAAAATAAACCAGTTGTACATTAAAAAGGGGTGAGGAAAATAACACATTAGTCATGAATCAAATTTAGAAGTATCGATGGTAAAAGTTTTTTGCTCTAATTCAGACCAGGCTGAGAAAAGGGGTGTGTGGGAAATAAAGCATTGTTAAGAAGTACCCAGTGTAGGACAACAGTCTGAAAGCTGGGCTCCAGCCTGAATGCATAATGAAAGCTCAGGGAAGGGGAGGACACTTTCTGCATATGCCCAGATACCCCTTTGTCAGAAGATGAATACCTCCACTTGGCAAAAGGAGTGTATATATGTAACAGGACACCAAAAGCACAGTGATTTTGTTTTTTTTCCCCCACCCCAGTCACAACTCTCCCAAACCTGAAAATGAAGCCAGCGAAAAAAGGGTACATAGGGAAATGAGAGGCCTGGTCATACTAAAAATAACAATGGACTAGATTTCAAATTCTTCTTAAAAAAAAAAAAAGTTAAATCCAAATAGCTATTGTTAAAAATGTGAATCAGGCATGGTGGTTCCCATAATCCCAGCAGCTGGGGAGGCTGAGGCAGGAAGATCGGGAGTTCAAAGCTAGCCTCAGCAAAAAAGCAAGGTGCTAAGCTATTCAGTGAGACCCTGTCTCCAAATAAAATACAAAACAGGGCTAGGGATGTGGCTCAGTGGTTGAGTGCCCCTGAATGAGTTCAATCTCAGGAACCAAAAAACAAAACAAAACAAAACAAAACAAAACAAAAAAACTGAAACAGGCTGGAGAAGGGAACTGAAAGGAATATGAAACGAAAAAAACACTTAACAGGGATCCAAGCAGCTAGAGGACATCCCACATTCTATACCTGTACTCGGGGTTAAAGTGTTATTAAGTGAAGAGGTTTCCTTATCAGATATATAATAGGAAAATAAAACTATTACTAATACCACCTTAAGTTACTATTTCCTCAAACAAAATCAAACCTTGACTGCAGGTCTACCAGGTTCTGGTATTCTATGATTCACTGGACAGTTCTACTCATTACTTTGAACCATTTTCTTAAACAAGTCTTATTTTGTAAGCTCACTTCTTCCTTCCGCTGGGAAGTTGTAGTAGCCTCAGAGGCCCAGTTTAGCAAACTCTCAAAACAGCAAAGAACTTCTGGTCAGCAGATGATGCCCTTAATAACCCCTTTTTACAAACTTTAAAGTTACATTGTTTCCCCCAAGGTTATACATCCTCTACATTTCTAAATAGGAATTAATTAATTACTAAGGAAGTTGATAAAGAAACAATACTTCTGCTTGAATACTAAGAGGCTATTACACTCTATTCCTCCAACTTCCACAGCCAGGGGACTATACAATCGATGTACACCCCAACCCCTTTTATCTAGAGACAAGTTCTCCCTAAATTGCCCAGGCTGGCCACAAACTTGCAATCCTCCTGTCAGCCTCCCACATGGCTGGGGTTACAGACTTGAGATACCATGTCTAAGCCACCCCATCCAATTAAATTTCTTATCTAGATGCCCTTAACGGCAATGAATGGAGCACTGAAGGTTGAGAGAGAACTCTAGGCCAGAATAGCAGCTGGCTGTGATACAGCAACCGCACAAACTGATTAGGAAGCATTTGTAAAACTGCTTAAAATTTGTTACAGAGCCCTACAGAATATAGCTAAGTATCACATTTAAACAATTCCAAATGTGGAGGAAGAAATCCCAACAGATATCCAACGAATGGAGCGATTAGAAATTCAATGGAAACATTTATATGGGAGGTTTATATGAATGTAACCATCACGGGAATTAAAGAATGAAGCAAAATTAACCTTAAGAAAAACAAAATTGGAAATTCTGCCATTTTTAAACATCTCCTAGAGAAGAGGCTACAATAGGGCAGTCCAGTAGTCAAGTCTAGTGCACAAGAATTGGAACCACAGTACTAGGATGAGTTGTCTTCAGTGTAGTTAAATGCTATACAGTGAAATACAGGGAATGCCAATACTTCAGGGGGTGCTTTTTGGGGGTGGGGGTACTGGGATCAAACCCAGGAGGACTTTATCACTGAGCCATAGCCCTAGTGCTTTTCATTTTACTTTATTTTTTTGTTGACAGGGTATCATGTTAAGTTGCTAAGGCTGGTTTTACACATGTGATCCTCCTACCTTGCTCTCCTAAGTTGCTGAGATTACATATGTGCACAACCCTGCCTTGTGGGTGCTATTCAAATAAAATATAAATGAGTGGTACCCTCAGGAGTTGGGCGTCTCTATGGCTCTGGGAATCGTTCATTTACAAATAGACTGTGCTCTGAATATGGCATTTATTCACATCAAAGCAAAATTATCCTAATAGTAACAATGTTAAATAGGATAATTAGAATTATGTGAAATAACCTGGGGAGACCTAACGAACCCATAGACAAATACAGTTCATGTATCCTACTCAGGATGGTAAAATTTATAAACGTTTTTGTTTATACTTTCATAAATAGAACATTGCTGGCCAACTCTCTTGTCCAACCCCAGATTTATAGTTAGGAGAGGTGTGTGTGTGTGTGTGTCTGTGTGTTTTGTGTGTTTGATATAAGGAGATAGCAGATAGGGGAGGAATAACATACACACAAGCAGTATTTAGAGGCAAGAAAATGATAAAGATCAGAGAAAGAGGTGCTCTAAAATATTTTCTTTCTTGACTCTACTGCTTGGAATGAAATGGTATGGTGAAGTGTAAGGGAGGGCAGAAGGGCGGTAGTCATATAGGTATGACGTAGTAAGTAGGGCAGAAAATATTAATAGGGAACGAGTTCCTCCTAATAGCATGCTAAGTGATGAAATACATGAGAGATGTGAGGCAGGTGGCTCAGGCATATTTGCTTGCGAGTTGGGGGAGACCATCAACAGTTATACATGGTTACACTACTGACAAAGGAATGATTAACATGCTTATTAGGGGATTTTCATTGAGTACAATTTTGGATTTTTTTTTGTCTTCAAATTTGAGACCATACAACACTATAATTCAGAAAGTAGTTGGCATGGTGGCCCATACCTATAATCCCAGGGACTTGGAAGGCTGAGGTAGGAGGATGCCAGCCTTAGCAACTTAGTGAAAGCCTGTCTCAAAAAGTGCTGGGGATATAGATCAGTATTAAAGTGCCCCTGGGTTCAATCCTGGTACCAAAATAAAAATAAATAAATAAATAAATTCAAAGAATAACTCAAGAAAATGCTTTCCAGTTTTCCTGGAGGCTCTGTCTGGAGTCAGAATCTTGAAATGGGAAGAAATCTGACTTTTCATAATAATTTCTCTGGGAAGGAACACAGAATATAGTGAGAGGAAGGAGAGGCATTAGCTGACTCCCAGTTTGAATTCTACAGCCATTTAGTCTTGGATAAACCACCACATCTCACTAAGCATTCTTTGATCTATAAAATTACAAGACTTTGGAAAGAAGCAAATGAGACAAATTTGAGAAAAGTGCTTTTTAAACCATAAAATACTATACAAATAATAATGGAAGTGGTAATATCTATAATTTAAAGGGACAAGTGAATGACTTTTGAATATGAAGTTCAAAGGAAAATGTTCAGGCATTTCCTACTTATTATGGTTCTTATCTTGCTATCCATGTGCTCCAAGTTTTCTGAATTTTCCTACTCTTACAAGTCATCATGTGGCAGCAGGAATATTATACCACTTCCTTTTGACAAAGAGGATTTTGGTAACAAAAGCCAAAACTCCTTGTAGCTACAGCATTTGGGAGCCAAGAAAGAATTCACTCATTTGAAGAACACACACAGAACAGGAGATTACAGTTCTTTAATGATCAAATGACAATTACAAGGGGGATTCTTAAGAATGGGGGTTGGCAATGACTATTGCTTCCAATAGTTATTGGAACACTACTTGGCCTCCCTTTTTTAACATCTTGTCCATAACTGCTTTTGTGCTAAAAATGTCAGTTGAGCAGTTGTGACATAAACTGACACTGATTATACGGCCTGTACAGCCTAAGATATTTATCTACCACCTGCCCTTTTAAGTTTATAAACCACTTGTTTCCATGTTTTTTCTCATATCATGTAAAATTTATAAATCCTACAATCTTTTCTCATTCTTCAACTCCTATTTCAGTTATTCTCCTTTCAGAAAGGTACAATCTATTTGTGAAATGTTATGAAAGATGACATGAAAAACACAGATCTGAATCCTCGAGAAGATAAAGTACAATAAATAGCCATAATATGCGCCATTAGCATATAAATAAATATGGAGTTGGGGATAGCTCAGTGAATATAGCACTTGCCTAGCATGTGTAGGCCCTGGATCAAATCCCCAGTACTGAAAAACAAAGAACACAAACAAACAAGACCAAAATCAAAACAAAACAAAAAACAACCCCAACATGGTGATGATTAGAGAGCACATTATGTGAAAGTCAGTGAATCCATACCAGATTACAAAAGCACTATCCAGAGCAGTGGTTTCCAAATATTTTTGTTTGTGTACTATTTAAAATGCAATTTAAAAAAAAAGATCACTTCAGATAATTTATAATAAAGGTTGTATATTCTAGAATACTACAAATGCTTTAAAACCATTTTGTTAATACTTTGGCAAGTAAATATATTTACTTTCATTAATTGAGAGAAAAAAATCTTCCTGTTGAACCTGCCATTAGTCCACCAAAACTTTGGTCAAAATCTGACTTACACAAACTTACTATAAATTGTAGTCTACACCAATTTGATTTATTTTTTGTTTGGAGTGTGTGTGTGTGTGTGTGTGATACACACTGGGGATTGAACCTAGGAGTGTTCTACAGTAAGTTATATTCATTACCGGCTTCTTTTTTAAGTTTTACTTTGAGACAGTCTTCACTCAGCTGCCCAGTCTGGCCTCGAACTTGTAGTTCTTCTGCATCAGCCTCTTGTGTTATTGGCATTATAGGTGTGTGCCACCATGACTGGCTTCATTCCTTTTCTTTTTAAATAAAAACTAGCCACTCCACCCAAACCCCTGCAGTGATACTGGGGCTTGCACACAGGGCCTTGCTCATGCTTAAACAAATGTCCTAGCACTGAACTATATCCCCACCCATCTTGTAAATTTAATTCCCAGGATTAAAATTATTATTATTATTTTTTTTTTTGGAAGGGAGAACTGGGGGGTCAATCCAGGGCTTTGCAAATTTGAGGCACTGAGCTACATCCCATCCCGGGATTATTATTTAGGAGCTGTGAACTCTTAGAAATGTTCCCTTTATTTGTTGTCTTCTGTGTTTTAAGTTTTATACTCTCTGGAACAAGACCCATACCACATTGAGGCTCAACATGGCCAAGAGGAATGCATGTCTTTTAACATACTGGAGGGAGCTAGATGTGAAAAGGGAGGTGGGAAAGGAGAACTGATAGACACAGAAACTTATCAGAGGCAGGTAAATATCAGAAAAACAATACATGCCAACACTAAGGATCCATGCTGATGAACACACTGGAAAGATGTCATGTCTTCACATACACACCAATATGAATACACTCACAAGAACAATGCTGCCCATTCTATTTTATATCATGGTGCATACAAAGAACATATTTTTAAAGATAAACTAAGCTATAAAGAACCAGATTACTAGAGGTAGGAGGCAACTGAACCCAGGCACCTCCCAGACACTCAACAGTGAATGGGAAAACTCCCTAGCAAGCTGCAATATTTTTAGTGTCACATACTGGTTTGGCGCATCTATCGCACCCTTTCTGCAAAGTTTGAAGACCGATGGGAAGTGGTACATTTAGAGTGAGTACCTGAGCTGAAACCTTCGTTAAGTCTCATTCATTAGACTTTATATTCTGTGGTCTTTCTTACCATCTGGAAATGCTAGCACAGGGTGAACACAAGAGTCCAACTGGGAAAGGCGTTCCAACAGAGGGGCTTCGTAGTGGATTTCAGGAAGCATGGTGTTGACACTGCCTGAACCACACAGTGCACAGGAGGGATTCACATCACAGCCAGAGCGGATTGTGCTGTTCCGGTGAACCTGTGAAAAGCCAAACAAAATTCTGATAATTCAGCATCTGATAAAAAACCAAGATTCCCACTCATTATCCCAAAGATTCAGGAAACCTTGTTAGACAGCGATATGACACTGCCAAGAGAATGCTTGATTAGTTAAGTCATTTCCATGTCTCTGGAACACATTGACCTTCAAAGTGATTAAGGTAACTTTCTTTTCAATAAAATCCAATTATTTGGCACCCTAATTGTTTGCCTAGATATCAAACCCGTAATAGTTCAAAAGATACTGAAATTGTGCTGAAAACAGTTTACAATATCTGCATAGTTTCATCACCTGAAGTTCTGTGTGTTTGTGTTACTGGGGGCCAAAACCAGGGTGTTCTAGTACTTAACTACATTCCCAGCCTTTTTAATTTTGAGACAGGGCCTTGCTAAGTTGTAAGGCTGGCCTCAAACTTGAAATCCTCCTGCCTTAGTCTCCTCAGTCGCTGGTATTACAGGTATGCATCACCACATCTGGACCACCTGATGGTTTAACTGTCTACCAAGGCGAGTAGTAGGCTCCCGATTCTCAGGACTTGGATTTATTCTTTTTAGCAACTTCATCCACATGGAAGCCCTTAATTACCAACTACCTCCGTTTTGTCTTTATACTTCTTCCTTAAAACTTTCAGGTAATCCCATACAAGGTGGCATATTTCTGGAGACAAGTAATTCATTAAATTCTCTTTAACCTAGCCTAAAACCCACTGTTAAAAGATTCATGCTTAAGTAATCAAAATAAATTTTGTATCCTGAGTGTTCTTATTCATAGTCTTTGTATTAATTCTAAGGGGACAGAAATTATTTTCATTAAGCTTCCTTTGTATATGAGGGCAAAATAAACAATCTCTCCAGCAAAGTCTGGAATGAAATATGAACTAATTTAAGTCTTCAAAAGACTTAATTCTAGCTGGGTGCAGGGTGCATGCCTATAGTTCCAGTGACTCTGGAGGCTGAGGCAGGAGGATCAAGTTCAAGGCCCTGTGCAACTCAATAGACCCTGCCTTAAAAAAGGGGAGTGGGGGGCGCTGGGGTTGTGTTTCAGCGGTAGAGCACGTGTGAGGCATTGGTTTGATTCTCAGCACCACATAAAAAATAAAACAAATAATTGTATTATATCCATCTGTAACTAAAAATAAAAATTAAAAGAAGCCTGGAGATGTGGCTCAGTAGTTCAATCCCTATTACCATGTCCCCCCTCCCCCACGACTTAATTCTGCTAAAAACAAAAATAAAAACAAAACAAAACAAAAACCAGTGCCTTTATCATCTTAGGCTTGGAGGAGAAAAGTTGAAGTCATGTTGATCCCTATACTGTAGTTATTATAAAGAATAAGCCTGGCATTTACCAAAGCATAACTCAAAATCATCTGGGTAATACCACTCCTAGAAGAAACAACCTGCCTAGAGAATGGCACTATGAGATGGGATCCCAGGAGCAAAGGCAATAACATAATAAAGACAAAAATGTAGCACAAATCTCTGTTGGCAAAAAATCTGCTGCAGCTGCATTCATTTCCAGCACACTCTCTGAAAGTGGCTTCCCTTTATGGACTTGTATAGGAGAAAGTAAATATTTAAGAACAATGGAATCTTTAAAAACATTCTCCATCCAACTGCCTCCTTCTAGCAACCACACAGACCAGCAAAGAAGGTCTCTTGAAGGTTAGAATGGACAAAATGAAATGAAGATTCTAGTTAACCAGCAATTGTAGATGCCACTGAAAGGAAAGGACACTAACTAAATATGATATTTTTATGTAGGACAATATTAATTTCTACAGTTTTTGGGAAAAATTATCCTGTGCAACCCTATTTAACTGGTTTTCTGGAGAGTCAGGAGAATATGTTTGCAGGTACAGATCACATCATCGATAAATGGGAGGATTTGGGAAGATCTTTAGGATCTAAAAATCACACCAAAACTATGAATATGAAAAAGATTAAGATACCAAATATCTAAATAAGAAAAAAAACAAAAAACACTGAAAGAGCAATATGGGTTTTTTTTCCCCCTCATAAACTAACCCATGATACCATGAGCTCTCCATATGGGACAATAACATTATTTCAAGGCTAGGGCATATCCCTTAAGTAAAAAGTGAACACATGTGGGTACGAAAAGAATATGGCAAGGGGCTGGGGTTGTGGCTCAGCGGTAGAGTGCTCGCCTCGCACATGTGAGACCTTGGGTTCGATCCTCAGCACCACATAAATAAATAAATAAAATAAAGATATTGTGTCCATGTATAATTATAAAAAAATTTTTTAAAAAAGAACATGGCAAGAATAGCAAAGTAAAACTAGGATTAAGGTAAAAATAGAAGTTAGAGAGAAAACACATGCTAGAAATGACAAATTTAAAAAGTTATGTAATACTTTGAGAACTTTGTTTCCATATTCACCCTCAGAAGCAGGTAAACAATCAATTTACTATATGAATAGCTGAAAGACTAGTTGTAAGGAGAAAGAAGGGGGGAAAAACCCACAAAATTTTAAAATTCTTCAAAAAAAGCACTAGTTATGTGTCAAACTGGCTATATATATTTATTACAAATGAAACAATCAACTGTAGTCATTTTTAAGTCTGTACAAGCTAACCTGGAGAAATATTCGCTATCTAAGCAAAAAATGAATAGTTTTGACATAGTACTGGTATAAAGAAATTAGAAAGGCTTCTATAGTCCTTTTAGAAAAGGATAACAAATCCCAAACCTGGCAAAATTTAATAGAGTGTTTGCCTAGCATCACATAAAAAATAAATCAATAAACAAAGATATTGTGTGGGGCTGGGGATGTGGCTCAAGCGGTAGCACGCTTGCCTGGCATGCGTGCGGCCCAGGTTCGATCCTCAGCACCACATACAAACAAAGATGTTGTGTCCTCCGAAAACTAAAAAATAAATATTAAAAAAAAAAACAAAGATATTGTGTGTCCCCTCTACAACTAAAAAAAAAAAAAAAAAAAAAAAAAAGTATTCAAAGACAAAGTTCCTGGATAGGTGCTGTGGCACATGCTATAATCCTAACTACTTAAGAGGCTAAAAGACAGGAAGCTCCCAAGTTCAAGGCCAGCCTGGCAACCTGGTGAGAACCTATCTCAAAAAAATAAAAAATAAAGCCCAGGTTCTTGCAGAGGGCCCTAAACTATCTTTCACCTCTATCACCTCTTCAACTTCATTTCCTGATACTCACCTAGCCCACTCTACCAGTTACTCTGGTTCCTTGCTACCTTTCTCCAGTATGGCAGACAAACTTCCAGATCATTTGCACTTGGCTTTTTTCCTCATTCACTCCATGGTCATTCTCTTACCTCAGTTCTTTTTATTCAAATAGTCACTTTCTTAAAGTGAACACTTATTTTAAATAATATGTATTTCTAAAATATGTAAGTGAAAAACTAAAATTAAGGTAAAAATAGAAAACACATGCTAGAAATGACAAATTTAAAAACTTATTCAATACTTTGAGAACTTTGTTTCCATATTCACCCTCTGGGTAATTTATTGAGACTCTGTCTCAAAATTTAAAAATAAAGTAAAAAAGGGGGTTCATGTGATGAATTGGGGATGTAACTCAGTGGGTTCATCCACCCAGCTCCTCAAAAGAAAGCACAATAAAGCTTAAAGATACTAATATTCTAAAGATGAATCTAAAACATTGAACTAGGTTTGAGGGGGAAAGCAGCAGTAAAAAAGAATTTAAACAAATAATCTTAAAACTAAAACTGAAAGACAGAATACAAAATGAATATGCAAAACTTAACAGCTTTCCCTTACCTCAGTAACAAATTTGATGAGGGCTGGGGTTGTGGCTCAGTGGTAGAGCTTGCCTAGCATGCATGAGGCATTGGGTTTGATCCCCAGTACTATATTAAAAACAAACAAACAAAAAAACCTAAATAAAGGTATTGAGTCCATCTACAACAAAAAATATTTTTTAAAAATATCAAATTTGCTGAAAAGGAAATTAGGAAAACAATTCCATTCACAATAATCTTTCTTTCTTTTTTTAACAAAGTACACCTTTTATTTATTTGTTTATTGTATATGGTGCCAGGAATTGAACTCAGTGCTCATGCATGCTAGGTAAATGCTCTACCACTGAGCCACAGCCCTGGTCCACAATAATCTCTTTTTTTTTTTGAGAATTTTTTTTTTTTAATATTTATTTTTTAGTTTTCGGCGGACACAACATCTTTGTTTGTATGTGGTGCTGAGGATCGAACCCGGACCGCACGCACGCCAGGCAAGCGCGCCACCACTTGAGCCACATCCCCAGCCCCACAATAATCTCTTAAAAAAAAGAAAAACTCTAACCAAGGAGGTGCAAAACCTCTATGATAAAAATTATAAAGCACTGAAGAAAAAAATGGAAGTCACTAGAATACAGAAGAACTTCCCATGTTCACGGATAGGCAGAGTTAATATTGTTAAAATGGCCATATTACCAAAAGGATTTCAAGTCAATCCCCACTGAAATACTGATAATGTTCTTCACGGAATTAGAAAAAAACCAGTCCTAAAATTCAAAATTTATTTGGAAGAATGGAAGACTCATTATTACCAAAGCAGTTCTAAGCCAAAAAAAAAAAAAAGCAATGCTGGAGGCATCACAATATTTCACTTTAAATACCGCTACAGAGCTACAGTAATGAAAACTGCATGGTGTTGGCATAAGAGACACACAAAAGAATAAAACAGAAGACAGAGAGACAAACCCGCAGGCACAGTCATCTGATTCTTGACAAAGGTGCCACAAACACCCACTGGAGAAAAGTCAGCTTTTCAAACAAATGGTGCTGGGAAATCTGGAAAGCCATATAAGATGAATGAAACTAGATCCTATCTCTCATCTTGCACAAAAGTCAACTTTGCAACTGTTACAATAAAGTGCAGGACCAACACTCCTCTTCTGACAGATGATTAATATCCAGAATACATAAAGAACTAAAAACAAAACAAAACAAAACACCGAACAACCTAAACAATAAATTGGCAAATGAAATTAACAGATATTTCTCAAAAGAAAAAAAATATAAACAGCAAGCATATCAAAACTACACTGAGGCTTCATCTGACTCCAGTTAGAATGGCAGTCACCACAAATACAAACAATAATCCAGGAGTGTGGTGCATGCCTGTAATCCCAGCAACTTGGGAAGGACAATCACAAACTGGAAGCCAGCCTCAGCAAATAAGCAAAACAGAAACAAAAACCCCCACAATAAATAATAAATGCTGATGGCCGGGCCGGGCACGGTGGCACATGCCTGTAATCCAATCGGTGGAGGAGGATGACACAGGAGGACCAAGAGTTCAAAGCTACCCTCAGCAAAGGTGAGGTGCTAAGCAACAGAATAGGGCTGGGGAAAATAGGCCCCTGAATTCAATCCCTGGTACCAATAAATAAATGCTGGGAATAATAATAATAATAATAATAAATAGAAAATGAGGTTGGAAAAGGACTGCTTTTACTGTTAGTGGCATTGTAAATTAGAACAACCACTTTGGAAATCAGTCTGGAGGTTCCTCAGACTAGGAATGGAACCGCCATATGACCCAGCTGTATCATACATTAGTATTTCTCCTAAAGAATTAAAGTCAGCATACTATAGCAATACATCAATAACCACATTTATAGCAGTATCATTCACAATAGCCAAGTTATGGAACCAATCTATGTGGTTCAACAGCACAGGAGTGAATAAAGAAATTGTGGTATATATACACAACAGAGTTTTATTTGGTCATAAAAGAATAAAATTATGTCATTTGCAAGAATATGGATGAAGTGGAAAACATCATGCTAAGTGAAATATGCCAAACTCAGAAAGTCAATGGTCATATGAAAAAGGGGATAATAAAAGGGGAGAGGGAATCTCATGAAAATAGAGGGAGATGAGTAGAAGAAACATGGGGGAGGGAGGTAGAGAAGAAAAGGGGAGGTACAGGAAACTGAAATTGACAAGATTATTCTATTAATATTGTGTGCATGCATGAATACGTAAAAACAAATTTCACTACTGTATGTAGTTATAATGTACCAATAGGAAAAAAAAAGATTCATAATAAAACAAAAACAAAACCTGGAAGAATAAATGTAAAGTAACTGGTAATTAACATAATCTGTCTGTAGCCTGATGTGGTGGTGTACATCTATCATTTTAGTGATTTGGGAGGCTGAGGGGGGAGGATCACAAGTTCAAGGACAGCTTCCATAATTCAATGAGACCTTGCTTCGAAATAAAAAATAAAAAGGGCTGGGGATGTGGCTTATTGGTAGATTCAATCCTTAGTACCAATAAGTAACTAAGAAAATAATCTGCTCAAGAATTAAACTGGGCTAAGGTTGTGGCTCAGTGGTAGAGTGCTTGCTTCACATGTGTGAGGCACCTAGTTTGATTCTCAGCTCCACATACAAAAGAAACAAATAAATAAAGATATTGTGTCCATGTACAACTAAAAAAAATACTTAAAAAAAAAAAAAAAAAAAAGAATTAAACAGCCTAAAGCATATAAGGTGATTTTTCAATAAATGGATCAGATAAACTAGGGGCTCATCACTTAGGGGGGAAAAGTTGGATTCTTGCTTCACACAAAAGTAAATTCCATATAAAACAACACCATGTTTGAACCTTAACTAACTAGTTTTAGGATCATGCAAAGCAAACCAAGTATTGAAAATTCACTGTCCATATTAATGATTCCAGCAACTGTCTCTCATTCCCCTCCTCTGTCCTCAGCCAATAAACTACAATAGTTCCCCTTAAGAAAGACTGTCCTTCAAACAGGCTACTCTGCTTTCTCCTTTATAGCAACATTCTTTGAAAGATTTTCTTAATGGTTCCCTCAATTCTTTTTGTCCCATTCTTTCCTGAACCCACTCAAAACAGGTTTTCACCCCTTTTCACCCTCTACCAAAAGTGCTCATCAAGGTCACCAAAACATCTCTGGCCCTGTCAGTCTTTTTATTATTAAACTGTCTACAGCATCTGACTCACATGGTCACTACTTTCCTCTCTGAAACACTTTCTTCCTTTCCCCACCATGCTCTCTTGGTTTTCTTTTTGCTTCAAGTGTCACTTTTTTGAGCCCTTTCTTCATCATCTTTCATAGCTCTGTGTCTTGTACGTTCTCAGGATCTAATTTATCCCCAAACTACTTCTTTATTTGAGCTTCCCAGCATTTTCTTATTTCCTGTTGCATTTTTTGCCCCACTATTTAATGCTATATGACATATTATATAGTTCATTAATTTATGTGTTTCATGAGAGTAAATATTTTTATGTTTTTAATTTAGTATTGTATTCCCAATACTCAGAAAACATCTAGCTCATTGTAGCTCAATAAGTACACAGAGAATGAGTGAATGAACAAAATCAAAAGTGGTAAACTACTCTGTACTAGGATCTTATCAACCATACACCCTAGTAAGCAGGTTATACGCATATCAATCAATCTTCAAACAATCTTATGAGTTTTCTTAGGTTTTGGAAAAGAGAAAGGGTGAGAGGGGCTAACATCTTCCAAACTACTAGGTGGCAGTACCATAATTCAAAGTAAAATGAATCATGTTTGAAGTCAATGTTTTTGGCCACTGCATAGTACCAATTTTACTGGAGTATTATTTTATTAGTTTAAGAAGAGTACAAACTCTGCTAACTAAAGAATCAGTAATAAAAAGTTCCCCGAAACTGTGAATTAATCTTCATTTTCTTTGTGAAGATAAACATTCATTTAGTAACATGTCTTTAAAGACAAAGCCTTCAACACTGCCATTTTCAGTGAAAACGGTGCAGGTGAGAAAGTACACTCTCCTCCAAATCTGGCCGAAGAATCAATCACCTAACAATGTTTTGCTTTTTGAAAACATAACTTTCAGCTCCAATCCAGAGCAACTGAATCAGACTCTCTAGAAAACAAGGCCCAGGAACCTAGTATATTTTTAAAGCTCTCTAGAAAATCTTGGTTGTTAGCCAAGTTTGAAAAACCTTTAAATTAAGCAAATCAAAGGTGGTATGAGATTAATTAATCCCTCTTAGCACCTGGCTCACTGACAATGACCAAATCTCTCTGGTACTGACCTTCTTAGAAAGAGGGACAATGCTATTGGGTCGAACAAGCCTCCGCTTCTTACAGCTCAGTACAGGACGTGTCCGGGCTGCCACACAGGTACCATCAGATGATGAAGAAACTAGATTCAGTCGTTGCTTTTTATGTAATTGTTCCTCAGCATCTGAGCTGTCACCTGGAATATGGTCTGCCAAGACAGGCTGAAGACTACACAGGGGAAGGAAAAATATTCACTTTTTAGAAAACATGGGAAACAAAGCCTCTAATAATTGGTCCAACCTCCTCTACTAGCAAATGCTCACAAACATAAACTAGTGCTCTACAGCGGAAGCAGGTCATTTCTGGATAAGGTCCACTAATCTAAGTATGTTGCTGTGTCTGTGTTTATTTATAAGGTTCTTGGTGTACATTTACTCTATTATGTCTGAAAAGTACAAAGGTCAGTAAGTAATCTTAAGTTCCTGTGATTAGGTTTTCCTCAACACAAACGTGATTAAAAAGTCTTGATAATTACAACTGGTAAGAAAATGATGGAAATCTGCAAATGTTAATGAGCTGCCTTAGAATCAGCATACCTGTGAATCTTCAATTCTAGGGATGTATACTGTTCATTTGTTTAGGGTTCTGTGAACCTTCATATACACAGATTTACAAACACAGCCTTGGGGAATTAATCTGTTCTACCACAGAGGTATTTATGTAAACTTCTTTGAGGAATTCCTCTAAGATTTGGGACCAATAATAATGATGTAAAATAATTGTATACTTTTTTTTTTCCCTCCATGTCCAGGCCCTTTTAGACCATGGTAGATAAGAGAGAAATACATAAATATATTGGTATAGTAGGAAGCATGCAAAATATTAATCCATGATAAAGCTTCTGCTTCTTCAAATCAGGATCAGTATTGGCTAGAGATAACAAACTCACCTTTTACAAGCCTACTAAGTATAAGAAGTAGAAGGCATAAAACATACGTGTTAATAACTCCATTGACAGGTCTCAGTGCTCCACATGATTTGGTAGATAATGACTCTGAAATAGGACCAACAGGGGCACCATGGTTTTCCAGTGGCTGAGAAACAGATTCAATCTGAATAAGAAAAAAATAAATACAAATTAACATTAACCCAATAACACCCCTATCTAAAAAGCAGCACCATATCATTTATGGCAAGCACCGAATATTTCTCATGACCGACTTGAAAATTTGAGTAAAACTCATATAACTGAGGGGAAATTAGCTTTTGCTTTGAAACAAAGAAGAATGAGGAACATAAATATTTATCAGATTAAAAGTAGTAAAGGCCTACTGACAAGGAAATGATCTGTGGAAGAGAACTATAGCCAAACAATTACGCAGTAACATGAACCTTATGCTAAGGGTCAAAGAGTATAGAGTAATACCAGTATCAAGGCAACTAAGAGAAAAAATTAAATGTAGTTATTATCGGTTTATGGTGTATGGTGGAAACTTGATTTCCAAGAATTGCATTTTTTTGTGTGTATATGTATGTGTGTGTGTGTATATATATAGATTATTCTTTTGCAGGAAACAAAATCAAAATATCTAATGAATCTAATTGACAGATACTGACTTCAGACTATATAAATCAAATATGCTTAGAATATAAGATGAAATAAGATAGATGTGTAAGAATTATGTAAAGGTTTTTAATTTCAATACTCAAAACAAATCAGGAACAGTTATTAGTGTGAGTCACATGGCATCTTTCAAGTACAGGGAATAAAGCCTGTAAGACAATAAAGCTATCAAGCTATCCACTGGTTCTGGGGTTGGTGAAATATCTCAGAAAGATTGTTGCCTTTATCCCCTTACATTTGATCTGGCTTTGGGATGTTCTGAAGTTCTCCTTCCTATAATTGCTACCCTTGAATTTAAGGTCAGTATTTTGAGGTTGAAATCCCACCTGCTTCTTCTAAGTATCACAGAACTATTTCTGATATTCACACTTCCAAGAAAATAGACCAAAGGATCTACAGTCCTGAAAGCAGTCCTGGATAAGTATAAAGTAAGTACACAGATTAGGAAGATAATTTAAAAGATTTAATACAAATTAACCCCAAAAGCCAGCTCAAGGTAAGTATACAAACAGACTAGTCATGTAAGTATACTACAATAAGTGAACACTGGGGAAATGTTTTCCTTGTTAGATACCCTGAACATCTACTAAGGTATCACAAATGTCTTAATTATATTAATCAATGCTATAAAAATTTTGTTTTGTTTTGTTTTGTTTGGCAAGGAGTATAGCGATTTAACTGCAAGGACACCTTCCAGGATAAAATGTTACTATTCTTTAACCAAATCAAAACGGCACACAGATTCATACCCTTAAACTGTTTTGACTTTCCTTGGAAAGCAACATGGTATTAAACAGCAAGAACTATAAGATAATTGAATCGTATTTATAAAGTTCGTCACAGCAATAATATCAATAACCTAAATGCTCAGTATCTGAGGCATAATTACAAATTGCAGTGTACCAAATCAAAATGTCAAAAAGAATCATAAAAGATATTTCTTCTTCTCATGCCAGGAGAGTATTTAAAGGAAAAAAAAAAAAACTTCACAGAAATTGTTTTAGTAAATGGGGTAAATGCAAAATATTTTAAATACAGTTTTAGTGACTAAAATGTATGTATACACATAATGAACAAAGTGTTAGAACCGAAAGTTTTCCTTATAATTAGGTTATATTTTTATGTTAAAAACAAAACAGTAAGAGGAACCTCATAAAGAATAAACAAACATTACAACATGACAAAAAACTACCAACAATAAAAAGGACTAAAAAAAAAAAAAGATTCAGGTTGTGTGACTTCAGGTATACTAAATATGAAGAAGATTCCTTTCAACACAAAAATACTCTATCAAATTTTTGCTGGTATACTCTAATATGAAGAATAGGTGTTATTGCCTAGCACGTGTGAGGCATGGGGTTTCATCCTCAGCATCACATATAAATAAATAAAATAAAGGTATTTTGTCCACCTACAACTAAAAAACTATTTTTAAAAAATGCACAGGATTTGAGCAAGTAGGTTCACCCATTCTCAAATGCAAAAGGGTTTAAAATAGTAACCCCAATCTCAGCGTTCCATTTAAGAAAAAAATTTTAAAAACTCACAAATATGTAATTTCACTCAGAACTTTTATATACATTCACATGAGACAAAGTGAACACTCCCTATCCTGAAGTCTGAAAAGTGTGAACATATTAACAAACTTTTAAGAAATGTTAAATCCACAAATAATTTAGGCTTTACCAGTAACTACTGTAATGGTTCACATCATTATAGTGTTTTCAGAAAATTAAAGCATGACTCAGGTATCTTACCTACCCCTCCAATAGGAAACTGAAAAAGGATGAACGAATCTATGATTGCCCTGAGCAGAGAACAGGAGTTATCAATAAAAAAGCTTCTATCTGAATTTTGTGTGTTCTGATGTACCCTAAGAGTTTCTGCATCCCACAGCCAAAAAGAAGAGCAGAAAAGCTAATGTGGTAGGTAAAATGCTTTTAATAACCCCCTTCTCTTCAAAGCAAGGGCACAGGGGATTACTTTTGGCATAATCTTAAGAGTCAGAGGAGGGTTACTGAACATTTTTCTTGACTCAAAGGACAGGTGTATGGCATAAAATGATTAAATCGGCAATGACATTCAAAGTTGTTACTCATATAAAGCTAGCATCTGTCTGATTCATCACTCCTCCCTGTTAGCCAGACAATTAAGTGTAACAAAGCCTTTGAAGAAAAACTAAATTAAGGTTTTATGAAGGGTGTGCTTTTGTGGGGCCTGAGAATCGCTAGATTTGTTTTACCAAAAGGTAAAGAAAGTAAAAGGGTAAATACAAAGAGGCTCACACTTAAAAATGCACAATAAAATTAAACTCTACCTTTAAGATATGTGTATGAGGTTTTACTTTGTTATTCAATTCACATCACATCACACCTGCTTGAAATACCATTTTATTTTAAACACATTTATTCGGCTAGAAAATTTAAGAGTTGGGTTTTGGTTAGTTATTCCCTTTCTGACAAACAGTATCAAAATAAAAATGTTAACTAAGTGATAGGAATTTTTATGCCTGGCTTAAGATAAATTAGTGACTCTGTTGGATAACAGTACTACACTTGGAGTGCATGGTTCTGAAAATTTCACTTCCACCAAGTTACTTATTAGATTCAATTTCTCCTTATGTAAAATGGGGCCATGTGCCTCATTTTCCTATGTCTGTAAGTTGATGATAAAGGAGAAGTTATATAATTATTATGTTTTATTTCAACAAACACAATGCTGTTACAAGTCCAATGATCTGAACCTAAGATTTATACTTACTAACATTGCTGAAAACATGCATCTAAACAAACAGCAATTGTAATCACAGTCTTATAGATCTTTATTATTCAACTTATTTATCTAAAGCTCTATTTACTTTAAAAGTCTTAATTAGTCAGTATTTAATACTGTGGATCCAGTATTTTCTTCTCAGCATCCATCTCTTTACTCTCTGCCCCCAAACCCTTGTCATGCCAATGTACCACTCATCAATCCTGGTGACTGCAAAACTTCAAGAAAAAGAAAGTGTTTCCAACTGAACCAATGGTACAAGGAATATATCTTGGACTATTAAAAAATGACAATGCTTTACACTTTTAGCATCCTTTTCTCTGAGAAAAAACATCAGTCCTCACTTAAAGTTCAGTTCTTTTCCCCATTACTTCTGTAAAGTAGGATGAGTAAGAAAAAAGTACAAGGCTCATCTTACAAATATAAACTAACAACAAATAATGATAAATAATAATTATATTTTATTATAAATAATTATCACATTTTATATTAAATAAGCATTGCCTGTGCTAAACAAAACCGAAAATCACTCAATTTCAAATCTAATCTTTAAAAGAAATATTTACCAATGAGGGAAACATAAGAAAACATACATGTCTCTATTCATTTGTGCATAAGAAATACAAGATGGATAATCCAAACACCAATGAAATTGTTTACCTACTGAGAATATGATGTAAAAAAGGAAAAATGGAAACAGAAAAAATAGGAATACTTTTCTATGTATCTCTAAGAACTATAGTAATGTTACACAGACAAAACAAAAACCCAAATCAACTATTTTCTCTGTGAGAATGGGACTAGAAACAGTACAAAGTACAAACAACTAAACTCAGAAACAGTGTTTTCTGACTATGTATGACAGAGCTACCATTGTACACAAATATTATACTCTAGTTAAACGTATTTCTCACAGAGGTATGAGATGGTAATTATGAAACGGGAACTGAACCAGTGATTATAAGCGGGCGAGGAGACTGATGAATTGCTATGAACTCACGGTTTTAATACACAGATGTTAGATAAATGTGTGTGTAAGATATAGGAAATGCACATATTTCCTAGTTTTATCTGTTGAGAAATTCCAGCAGCAATGACATGGAGCTCCCAATGCCAATAACAGACAACTGGAAAAAAACTGAATAATAATAATAATAATAATAATAATAATAGTATTATTATATAATAATATAACCCACAGAATAACATTAAGATGCATGGATCCATTCTGAACTAAACAACTGAATAAATGGGGAGAAAGAACAATTCTTCCCAACAGAATTACAATAAATGTTAAAAAAAAAAAACTAGTCAGAAAAATCCCCACTCAGTAAATAACATAGCAAAAACCACTGTATGAAAAAATCCTATTTAGTTAGATGATAAAATTGTGGGTGACAGTATTTGCACAGCAACTCCCTGAGAGATAGTATTCTTACCTTCATAATGAATGACTAACTTTACAGGGGAGCAATAATCTAGCAGGCTCTTTTTTTTTTTTTTTTTTTTTTGCGGGGGGCGTCGGGGGGAGGTACTTGGGATTAATCCGGAGGTGCTTTACCACTGGCCACACCCCCAGCCTTTTTAATTTTTTATTGAGACAGGGCTTCACTAAGTTTCTGAGGCTGGTTTTAGCCATCCTCTTGCTCAGCTTCCTGAGTTGCAGGAATTACAAGCAAGTACCAGCACAAACAGATAAGCAGGTACTATATTAAC